TTTGGGTAACCAATGTACTATTTCCCCAATATTGGTTGTTCGTTACAACCGTTCGGCCAGTGAAAATGCTGAAAATAATGTGCACAGGCTGGTGTAAACCGGTGTGGTTTCTGTGTGTAAACCTGTGCATTACTCCATGGACTCAGTCTTGCGCGTACTTCTTTCATAACTGTGGTTATGGCAAAATGACCCGACCGCCCACCCCTAAAATTTTCCCGGACAGGCCAAAGAGAATAAACAAACCCAAACCAAAGGAGATCAAAGAGGAACCACCGAAAGTAGAGGAGAAGAAAGTTGCCGCCCCCGTTCCTGTTGTGGTGGCAACAAAAGGAGAATTTGATGATTATGATAAAGAAAAAATTGCAAAATCTGTGAAACGTCAGATGATGTTGTTTTAATTGTTAATAACAAAAACGAGATGTAAAATGTTTTTATTTTTCCCATCAATTTACAAGTGCTAAATAATGAAAGTGCCTTACTCCACCTGTTACTGTAACGATAGAAGTGATATTTGCATTTTGCAGTAGAGCGCCTAATCAAGTGACATTTTTATCAAGATTTCGAGGACGTTACATGCACGTTGGGCACGCAAGAACAAAATGACTTCATATTCTATTTTAATAACAGTAAATTATAGTGGTTATACTCAATTAACTGGAAAGAGGCATTAGCCTCCTGATTTTGGGCAAAGCATCGCTAATTATAAAATTGGTAACTTGGGAAGTAAAATAGCCGATGTAGTTCAGATATTTGGGAAAACTGAATGATTTTGGGAAAAATTGATTGGGAAGAGGCTTAATGTGAATAATCACCGAATTAGCTATAATCTTTAAAGAAACAAGAACAAACTGAAATGAGAATCACAATGGGAAATAATGCTGCATAATTATGGTACTGGTTTCAATGACGTTTAATAATAACTGATGGAACTACAAGAATTACAGCTGAAATGTGACAATTTCGTGCAGGACTAAGCAGAAAACGAAGAAGAAAGAAGAAATTATGAAGATATTTTAATTATGTTTTATTCTAAAAATAAGATTTTTATTGTATTATAAATTCAAATTAAAGATTTTCGATCGGGCAAATGGCCGTATATATAAACGGTTGTTTGCAATATAACCCTCGCCTAGCCGCTCAGGTTATATATACAAACCACTTGTTTATATACAGCCAACACCTGTTAAAATCTTGAAAAAAAAACTTGAATAAGCCATGTATTTTTTTAAATGAAAATTTACGGGAAAAATTTAAAAAAGGGGTGAGGAAAATTTAAAAAAGAAAAAAAGCTTTTCCCTTAGGGTTCTTATCTTAGGATTTTATATTCATTTTTTTTTTTTTTAAATATTTTTTTAGATATTGGCTAAAATCATAATTAATGTACTTAACGCGAACTATTTGGGCATTTCATTATATTATTTGAACATATCATTTCGAGTTCATAGTCACCTATTGTTACTTCATTCAAAAAATAATATTTTAGGTGCTTTTCTATCCATGTCCTTTTTATATATTGATAGAAAAGTTTATTTTATTTTTTCTAAGCGATAAATGAACAAAGCACTTCCTTTTTGTTGTCAGTTTTCTTAATTAATATATATTTTGGGCTAAAAATACGTACGATATGTTTTTGTGTTGTAATTATTGTGAATTCAGAATTATCTTCATTTGAAACATTCAAAAATGACTTTTTATATGCACAATCTTTCTTATAAAGACATCTACATAGACCGGTTCAATCCATTCTCGAACGATAAAGCTAAGGAAGCTAAAATTAGTTCACTTAAATATTGAAAACATTTCTCCGGGCACGGTCATATAAATAAAATGTGCTAACCATATTTTATGGGTCAAGAGTGAAGTACATGCATATAATTATTCATAATTATTAGTTATCTATATTTTTTCTTCAAAGGGAGATATGCATTTATAACTTGAACTGCAGTAACTTAAGATTCTATTAGACATGTTCATTGATACAGGTTTCTTCTCAGAATCAAATTGATTGGCACTGAAGTAGATTATGCATATCGAATCGCCATTATGAATGCCAACTTCCGTTTTGCATTTCACTATCTAACAGTTTCTTTTTTACATAAATTTAATTTGTACTTTTTTTTCGCTGGCCGAAATCACAATGTGTCCGAATCTATTTTAAAATGGGAATGATTGAGGTGTACAGGGTATGTATGTTTGACTTAAAGTGAATTTTGCTTTTCATGTTAGAAGTAACTTTTTGAAGAGTATTAAATTGGGGAAAGTAGGAACCACATGCTCAAAATGTCTTTACATTCTACTTAAAAGCGCTATCCATCAATCAGTTATTTGTACCCCCCCCCCCCCCCCCGAGGCAGTTCTGGTGACAGCAGGTGAACATGAACCTACTTTTCACTTTCCAGCCGTCCTCGAGCTAATTTATTAATATGATGCTTGTTGTTTTGTTTTGTTTTGATTTTGTTACGACAAAACTATCATGTACAATACATAAATGAAACTATAAATTGGTCATTTTAACGACATATACATCTCTGTGTCGTGGTGGAAAGATATTTTTACATCTACTCTGGGACTTTAAATATACATTTTTAAGTCCCATGACGTACCAGACAATGTTTTAGCATTGTATTGCATGATTAAATGTAGTAGAAACTTTAAAAAAATGATAACATACTATGTAGTATAATGTACTAAATTGTACTTAATAATATTAAAGGACAAACGCTGTGATACAAGTTGATTAATTTATACACATACTGGTATATTTTTTTTCATTATTATTTTATGGGGAATTCAAATGATTCCATTTAAATACATATGTAGATAACAAATTTGTGAACATATATAGAGCATGTATTCTTTTAACATCAAACATCGGGCCCTGCTGTGGCCTTCTATTGAAAGTTGTCTTTTTTTTAAAATGCCATGACTTGAAATTCCTTAGGTCTATATTTTTTGTGCCTCGTAATTGATGATCTAAGTGTATATCTTATGGTTTCCATGTTGAGATAAAAAGTAAAAATCATGTTTCAACTATTTTTGTCCTCATTATTTTGCTTAAACCACTTAAGAGGCACTCCTATGTACTTTCAAGTAGAAAAGCTATCTGTGATATTTGCTTTATTCAAACAGTTTGATAAAACATTAAAAATTGTCAAGTAAAATCTTGTGTTTGTTTTGTACATTGCGATATATCTTGTTAAAAAGAATAGTTTTGTCTTCCGCGTGAGATACTCTTAAGGTGATACATCCATTGAAATATTTTGTTAAAATTCGTGTTAACCTAAGTAATAGTGTAAATAATCTGTATCTCGTAATAACGGCTGTAAACCATTTTGCATTCACTAGAGCACAGTTCAGCCACCGCATCATTCCTGGACAGGCTATCAAGCAGTATACCAGGACTAGTTGCTTTCAATTCTGCAAGGAACTGATATCTTCTATACATGCCAGAGCAGAGGTTAGGTGCGAATGACCGTAGAAAGGATTTCTTGATCAATCACAATAAACGTGACTTGCACCGTCCGGGAATCGATCCCCGGCTCTCCGATTCACAGTCCAACGCTCTACCGGACTGATATTTGTTCACAGTGAAACAAAACCACCGTGTATTTCTGGTAACCTGAGTCCGAAACCGACCTTTTCAACAGCTTAGAGTAATATTTCAGTTTATAAATGGCATAAGTAAATATCATGACCGTGTAATCCTTGCCGTCAATATCAGCTTTAGTATTAAACCACGCAGTTTCGTCTTTTTTCAACAGTAAAAACATCAACACACGATAAAACTGATTGATGGCCGATTTCAAAAGGGATACATCTTAAAGATAATTTGTTCTATCCTTCGATTTTAATTAAATTTGAATTTTTAGTGAAATAATAAAATGAAATATATCGATTTTAAAACCTTGAATTTTCTTAAATGGGTAAAATACCTTAGGTCAGAAAAAGCAAATACTTGAAACGGCTTTATTTCAAGATCTTTTTTTCTCTCACTTTAATTTTTTAAGATATACTTGATATCGCCGTAAAAATAGTTTTGAAACATTACTTGTATATACTTTGCCTTAGAGTTTTACCAAATCATAACATTATTTGTTTGAGTTTTTCAAATGCATAAACTTTAAACAGTTATTGTAATATTTTGATTATGCCTGAGAAAGTTCCACTTGTAGCCTTCATTTTGCAGTTATTTATGACCCAATGTAAATGAAATGGTTTTGGAAACGCTATCCATCTGCGTTTTTATGCCGTATTAAGAGACGTATTTTTTTTCTTTTTTTTTTTTTTTTTTTTTTTTCATTATGAACGGATTTATATTTGAACGAATATAATAACAAAATGTATTTTGAAAGATAAAACATTATTTTGGGGTTTTTTTTTCATTTAGTAATAAATTAAATCTTTAAACCATCAGGTTCTATCTATACACCATAGCGAGACTATGATGTCACGCTCAGGGTCCCCGTGTTTTTTTCCAGTTGCCAAATATTCCCTTAAGAGAAGGTATGCAAGTAGAATTCCAAATATGACTTGCGGTGCTCTCTTGCGTACATGGAAATGAAGAATTCAATCAAACTGGCATGTGAGGAAGGTTGTTCTGATACAAAGACCTTTTATTTGAATAACAATAGTTTAACCACAATTATTGACATGTGCTCTTTTGATAACAAATTTGTTGTGGTGAAATTCTTAATAAAACAACTTACCTAATAGTTTGAATTACAGGGATCTAGGCATTTAAGAAAATTAATATACATAACTGTTACCAAACTCTCTCTCTTTGAAATGCGAATTTCTGGTAAAAATGGAACATTCTATATCTCATAGGTAACAATTTTGAAACCCACATATTTGAAACGCCCCTCTCTAATCTGTAAAACTATCTGCCAGATGACCTTCTAGCTTAGCTTCTTCCTTGCACAATTTTGGAGCTTCTCTTGGTATATTTAAAGCAAATGGTTACACAGTAAGACAAAAATAATACAAGATACAAACACCAATTGTTGATTTTGAGTTTTTATTATTGTTTCAATATACAGTTAGTGCTGCTGAATGCAGCATAATATGAAATCATTGATGTAGAAATAACTTAAATGTAAAATAAATCAATAAATAAAATACAGGAATGGACGGATTTTAAGCATGAGATATCAACAAAAATGTCGCACAACAAGCATAGTAGAAAATACAATAAAACTTGTACAAAGTGACCGCCTACTAAGTGTATACCATAATATACAATGTCATGGTCATCAAAGATAGCTGGTCTTATATAGAAAATTCAACAAATATTATAGAAAGCGACCACAAACAAATTGTATTCTATAATGGCCAAGGTTGTTATAGATAGTTGGTCTTATTTAAAAAGACCACCTATTTATTCTGACAATATCTGTCATGGTCGTTAAAGACAGTTCAGACAAAAGAGCTGAAGAAGACAAGAAACACTTGCTTTGTAATAATAAGAAACAATCTTTAACCAGAACATTGGCAGTCCTAACAAAATATTCAATATAGAATGCCTTTCATAGCACAGCTAAGAATACTTAATAACTGACTTCCTTCAACATTTAGTGCTTTATGCACATATAATCTTTTTACAAAGTTACAACATTGAAAAATTGTAAAAGTGGAGAAACAAAATTTACTAATAATGTGGAGTGAACACTTAAAATTTTTTTTTTACATTTGTAACAGATACTTGTGACCATCTTGTAATTTATTTTCTGGTTTAAAACTTATACACTAACATACAAAAGTACTTTTTTGTAAAATAGCCTACTTACATGATTAAAGTTTAAGAGGTTCTAAACATTCTTTACAACTGGTTTAGCAGATAATATTTTTATGATGGTTTAAATGTAAACATATCAGTCTAAAATGCCGATGATAAATTCAACATTTTAGGACCTCAACCTTATGTTAAGCAAATAATGCTCTAGTTTTCAGATTATGGTAAAACTAAGTATATGTTTTGTGAGCCTCGTAAAAAATTTACTATATACCTATATATTTACTGATAAAAATGCGGTCACATTGAAATAAAGAAACATAAATATCTGGAATCAACATTTTTGTATTTTCACACTTTGTATTGCTTAAGTTGTAATTTGTACCATTTAATTCATACTAATTTATTATAGTTTGATTTTGTTGGAATCTATAAGCTTATTAAAACGCTTTTGAATCCGTTCCTGGAACCAACCAGTACTGAGCAATGAGTGTAACGTTTCTTGCACACGGAAACAACGACTGACGTAACAGAGTATGCAACTTCACAAAAATAGTTTATACATTCACTTATTGAAATTAGACATATTCAGGAAGAATTTACTAGATTTCAATAAATTTCTGCAATAAAAGTATTTTACCCAAAAATGTGCATAGAATATCTTAAGTAACATCCAATCATGAAAGAAATTGATTTTTCAAGAAGAAAAAATAGAATATAATATTATAAAATCTGGTAAATTCTGTGATTTCCAAACTACTGACAAACCTAAAATTTACATAAGTAATTTACCAGTAAAATAAATTGAGCATACTGAATTTTTTCAAAGCTGGATGGTGGCAAATTAGGTAATAATTTTCAAATATAAGTTATTCAACAATATCATTAAAATTATACAATGCTCATCTTTGGGTAAAATACATGTACTTTTATTGCAGAAATTTATTGAAATCTAGTAAATCCTTCAACTGTAGTGTGTAGAGCTTAAAATTTAATATATTTTCTCTTTGTGTATTCAAAATATGTTAATAAAGACTGAATAGTAATCATCTGGGTGTTTTTTTTTACTATCAAATTTGAGCATAACATATCTTTAAAGTTATCCATGTCTCTAAAAGATTTCTGCCATGGCAATATCTCTCAAATATGAAGAAAAAAAAACGACCAAGATAAATAAATACTTTCTTGACTACCATTATGTCACTATTTTAAGAGAGCAACAAAGAATCATATATGGTTCATATTCATTTCTTTGCATATTTTTTTTCAGTAATTTATTAATTTATCACAAGACATATTTCATAATTATATGAAAATTAAGTAACCACTTACTGCCATATGTAATGTTTCTGAAGAGGAAAATTTTCATTTATGAAATGTGAAAAAAATAGTTATAATTTCTACAAAAATTGTCTTTCACAAAAATTATGCTATATGACAAATGTTAAAGTATGTCAACAAAGTAAGAAAATGAGTTTTCCATTGCTATTATTGTTGCTATCACATAAAAAATAACTCGAAAGTCACAATTTATACCCTTACAAGTCTCATTTGGCATTCTTAAACAAGCTCTTAATATACAATAAATAAGTTATTACACATGTAACACAGACACTAACACTGATATTAGCTATCGGTATTCATAACCGTATCCGTCTTCTTCCACTAATTGCGGATGTTGTCCTCCATACCCGTAGCTTTGTGGGTAGTGTTCATACTCGTCTAGCATCAAAGGGCGACCATATTCATCAACAGGCTGACCGTACTCGTCCACTTGGTCGTAATCTAAGGCGTTACCGTTCACAAAACCCATGTTGGAATCTGGTCTAGCAAACGGCTCATATTCGTTACCATATTCAGTTCCGTACCTGTTTTTGTACAAATTAAAATTATTGAAAATATTGCAACAATCAAACCTATTGTAGATAAGTTGACAGATGATGTATGAATAAATAAGTCCCAATTGCTACAAACAAACTGTATATTCAGTTCCGTACCTGTTTTTTGTACAAATTAAAATTATTGAAAATATTGCAACAATCAAACCTATTGTAGATAAGTTGACAGATGATGTATGAATAAATAAGTCCCAATTGCTACAAATAAACTTGTGTAATAACCATTTTTCACACTAAAAATACATTTACCAAAGCATTTCCCTGTTTTATAAAACTTCCAAAGCCATTATAAAAAGTAAATCATTTGCAATAAAAACTAATAACACCGACATATCTGTGTACAACCAGTACTTACACATTAACCAATTGAATCAAAGAACTTTCCAAGATTTTTTTTTTTTCAAACAAAAAAATCAGAAAGTATACAAATAAAAGATCCCTTAGAAAGTATACTTGTCAAACTAAGTATTAATTTTATAACAAAAAATCCTGACAAATTGCGCAATAAATAACATTCCTAATTGCAATTATTGTCCATACTGAGCAATATATTCACAAAAACAAATATTGAAAACAAGTATACTCACCCGTACATGCCATTTTCATCAATATATTCAGGTGTTAGATGACCATCCATCACTAGAGAAGGATCATATCCATCTAAAAATATAAATCACATTACAATATACATGTATTAACAATGAGTGTTCAAAGAGTAAATGGCAAGGAGTGTTCAAAGAATATCTGGGTGGTAATAGAGTTGCCATTAAGTTTTGTTAAAGAGTTTTTGGGTGTTCAAAGAGAAACCTGCATGGGTAGTTCAAGATAATCCAAGTGTTCGAACAGTAACTGTTAAGGGTTGTTCAAAGATTATTTATGTGTTCAAAGATTGTCCATAAAGGGTTGTTATAGTTTTTGGGTGTTACAGAGAGTACCCTGCATAGGTAGTCCAAAGATTATCCAAGTGTTCAAAGAGTAACTGTAAAAGGTTGATCAGATTCCAGTGTTAAGATATACAAAAAGGAAATTTGAAGACAAATGCATGATTATTATAACAAAATTTTAAGAAATATTTGTAAACAATGTGATGAGTTAAAAGATATGCCAAATATTTGGAAATTTTGTACAATTAACCATGATAATAAACAATGAAAATGTTCCAGATACTTTTTAAACATTCCTTATAACATAAAAGATGGTAAATGTTTGAATTCACAGCTATCACACCCATAAACAATTAATTATTTGTAAATGAGAATACACATAATTGCAGCAATAAACCACTCTCAAACTCTTAACTGAAAAAGGTCTGAAACTGTTCAAATATCAGTGAATATTAACTGATTCCTTTAAGATTGGATCTGTCAGGATAACAAACATACAGTACTAATGCTTCCATATGATATAAATTTCCTCACCTTATAAATCACTAACCTTTAAACTGCTATAACATTTGTGTAATGGATTTGCCCTGATTTGAATTAGGAACAGTCCATTTAAAGTGTCAGGGATTTCAGTATCAAAATCCAACAGTATAGATTAGAAAGTGGAACAGTCCATTTAAAGTGTCAGGGATTTCAATATCAAAATCCAACAGTATAGATTTGAATGTGAAACAGTCCGTTTAAAGTGTCAGGGATTTCAATATAAAAATCCAACAGTATAGATTAGAAAGTGGAACAGTCCATTTAAAGGGTCAGGGATTTCAATATCAAAATCCAACAAATGTGGAGCAGTCCATTCAAAGAGTCAGCGATTTCAATTTCAAAATCCACATAAATTACCAACAATATAGACTCTGGTCAGTCTGTAAGTAGATACAGGCTGGGACTGGCTCTATACTGGTGGCAAAACTTGGTCACTTTTAGTTTCTGCAGGTTAAGGGGTTAAAATACAGACAACTACTATTGCTATACAGTCACAACAAAACAACAATGTCATATCTAAACTGAAGCAGCAAAATTTTATATTATTAGTTATACATTTTTTTGACAGGTTAAATGCCCCTTTTTTATATCAAATTTATAATACAGCAAAACTCCTTTTTTTAATAAAAAAAGGGAGAAATTTCTTCAAAAATTGATAGCAGTCATGTATATAAAACTATATCAACATCCCAATTATCCAATGAAAATCAACATTACAAATGTGCAGTATTATAAAGATAGAAAGAAAACAATCAATTAATTTCACTTCTAAAATACCATGTATTGTTACAAACAACAAAATCAAGCCTTCTATAGACTTATTATTCATAATTCAGAACATAATTATCTATTCTAGAAAATTATCTAGACCATAGGAAATAAATTTCACTTGAAGCACCCTATTGAAAATATCAATTCCATGAACAAGTTTACACATGCATGACATAACAAACCACATAAAAAGGGTAAAAAAAGGTAAAAATACCCTTTTTCTGAAACATTTGAACTCATAATTAATTTTTTTTTCTCTTCTTACCCTTGTTAAAGTTCACAAAAATTAAAACGTAAGAAAAGATAAATACATGAGTTCTCATTAAAACTAAAACTGTAACTTATCTAATTTATAAGTCCTTTTGATTTTTTTATTCCCCCTTTTCTAAATTTTTCTGTTGCAATGGCAGCAAAAATGAGCTTCACAACAAATTTACTTATTTCAATGAGGAATAACAAATTAATTGTACTACTGTTTAAAAGAAAACTTACATGTATATGTAAAATCATATCCATTCTAAAAAGACAATGCACAAAACAGAAGTAAAGGTTAAAATATCTCTAAAACATAAAAATTAATTAATTTTACAAACAATAAATATCCAAGATGTTTTCTTTACATTAAATAAAACATGCAGAAATTAGATTAAAGAAACTTCTAGTTGGTCTCACACCATGCAATTCATACCTTTTGGACCTGAATGTTTGCAATATAGCTAAAAGTTGAGTCAAGAATAGCAACCCATACACCATTTCATTAGAATATAAACAATGTATTGAAAGCATTTTATGATTTACAAAAAAAATTTGCTCCTATTAAAATGCTGAGACATGGTTTCAAAATTTAAGAAAAATATTTCTAATGAGTTTTACAGGAAAAAAAACCTACCATTTGTTTCAACCTTGTCAGTTTTTATAACCAGACCCTTGAAACCATCATATCTTTTATAACATTCCACCATTTTCTTTTTAAAGTAGCATTTTGATAATAAAATATCAAGACCCATTCAAGTTTGTTTCTTTATAATGGTTAGTTTCTCTTGTCAGTAACACTGACCTTATTCAAATCAAATTCCCCACCCAGGTGAAATTTGGCTGAATGTGCAAACCATATAATTTAACATCAAAGTCTTGTTGTTTACTTACGCTTTTCATACCAAAAATTTTACTTATGACCCCTACCCCAAGCTTGAAAACTAGTAAAATGCCAAACCCTCTGGAATATACATTACCGCCTATCGAAATTTTAAGACCCCCTCAAATACACAAATCCTGGATCTACACATGTAGACAGCTACAATTTGTGTGATGTAACAGACACTATAGTCTTTCATACCTGGATAGAAGAGATCCGGTCGATCTAGTATATCAGCATCTTGTAGATATGCGTCGTAACCTTCCTCCGGATACATGTACGGGTCAGCCATCTCGTCAATCTGTCGTGACTCGACCATCTCTAACCACTGAGAGTTGTGCCAGCGGAACTTCTCCAACTGAATCTTCTTGGCCCACTCTTCATCAAATTCCTATTCAATAAGTACCAAAGGGTGTAATAAAACAATCAAATGGTGTAATGAAAGTCAAACTATCATCCTAACCCTCAGCATGTTGGCACCAAGTGAATATACCTGTACCACCAGTGCAGACCAAGATCAGTCTACACATCTACCAGCCTACACGGTTTGCTAATCAGTCATAATGATAACATGAAATATTTTGAAGGTTTCCCTAGAAATGATGGGTGGTTACATCTAGAGTGAAAGTTAGACAGGATCATTTAAGTTATGGTGGTGAGATTAATGATGTATTACACATTTCAAACTAAAAAATATGTTGTTTCAACACAAAGGAGATCACTACATCAGTTGCATTAAGTTCAAAATAAAACCCTTTCCTCCAGAACAGTTGCCTTTTTTTCCAAAGTTTTCTGTATAGTTTCAATTAAATGTGTTCCTAGGACATGGATGCCCCGACAATCCACAGTTTAATCAGTCTATGGCTGGACAGCTTGATAGATGGACAAGGACAAATCTATATGACCCGTTGTGGAGGCATAAAAAGCATGAAAATCTATCAGAGAGAGCTATCAGTAGGACAGTGTGCTCAACTATTCTCAGTGATTGTTAGTAAAACAAGACTTAAGAAAAAGAAGAATTGAAAAGGATCATAATTCTGTCAACATCCATGTTAGTAATAGTGGTATGGGCCTTCAACAGTGACCTCCTTTGTGGTCTCAAATAAATGTGTGAAGTTTCAATCCATACCCTTCAGTAATTTTGGAGATACTAACGGCACACAAAAACTTATCCCAAGTGTGACACTAACACCAAGGCCTTTGCCTTGGTGAGTACAAATGCTCTCCCTATTGCAGTTAAAAACAAACTAAGTATATATATATACTTACAGCTATAATGTCGAGAGTGTTATCACAGACTTTTCGTATCTCAGCATTCTTATCATGCATCAGATCTATCAGGTATGCTGGAGCTTCTATATAACTGTTAAGGAATATATTTTTCTTTGCTAGGTGATTAAAAATTTGTGGTCTTCTTCTTTTCCCAGGTTGGGTGTATAGACCCACATCAGCATTTTACATATACTGACATCCCTACTTAGTCAGTTGATTCAAACCAATTGCAGTGAGGAACATATTTGAAATAAGAAATCACCAGGCCATAAAGGCTTGCTTCAAAGTTTTATACACAGACAATTTTGTGGGGGGAGGGGGTGATGGACTTTGCAGTTGCATGCAACCAACAACAAATTAATGGCAAAATAATAATGCAGGTAATAATTTTTTCAGTACTGACAATAGCCATAAAGAATCGTTATTGTCAATGTATTATGTGTTGTAAAACTAAAGTGTAATGGTGAGATTTTTTAGATTAAGATATTTTCAATTTTGATAATTTATATTGAAATTATTTGAAACAAAATTATTTTGAGATTATTCTAATGAAAAATTATTTTGAGATTATTCTAAGGAAGGATACGTGTATCTTTAATAATCACTTCTCGTGTAGACTCATGGAATATCATCTGGTAGAACACATACACAATCTGGCATACCATCTCATCATCTTCCTGTTTTGCTGAAAACATTTATAGAAATATCATATTACACTTCCATTTTTGCAAACTTAATATCTTTCATAATAACAATAAATATGAGACAAAAATTGTCACAAAACCAGTCCGTTTTGCCATCAATAATAATTGGTTAATACTTTTCATAAAGAACCCATAATTCCCGAGTTGAGAGGCAAACATCTTAATCATTAAGCCACCTATCACCTCAATGTTTGCAAATATTTCATATAACAATAAATTAGGTAAAATAAATTATGTTTTTAAGTTAAGAAATAAAAGATCTCCTGTTATTCTGAAATGATAAATTTCATCACTTTTCCTTTTCAAAAGCTTGGTAACATTTATTTACTTAACAAGGCTTTGAGTGCATTTATTTTGGAAATTTATTTTCATAACTACATTTTAACAGACCTTTTCAATTTTTATCCCAAATCTTTTTGTTTAAAAGATCAATTTTTCAGCTTTATAACCTCCATTACACATTGTATAATTCCAGACTGTGCCAGCATAACTTACCATTTAACAGCTCAATTAGAAGACATTGTATAATTCCCGACTGTGCCAGCATAACTTACAATTTAACAGCTCTATTAGAAGACATTGTATAATTCCCGACTGTGCCAGCATAACTTACCATTTAACAGCTCTATAAGACATTGTATAATTCCAGACTGTGTTAACATAACTTACCATTTAACAGCTCTATAAGACATTGTATAATTCCAGACTGTGTCAACATAACTTACCATTTAACAGCTCTATAAGACATTGTATAATTCCAGACTGTGCCAGCATAACTTACCATTTAACAGCTCTATAAGACATTGTATAATTCCAGACTGTGTTAACATAACTTACCATTTAACAGCTCTATAAGACATTGTATAATTCCAGACTGTGTCAACATAACTTACCATTTAACAGCTCTATAAGACATTGAATAATTCTAGACTGTGTTAACATAACTTACCATTTAACAGCTCTATAAGACATTGAATAATTCCAGACTGTGTTAACATAACTTACCATTTAACAGCTCTATAACACATTGAATAATTCCAGACTGTGTTAACATAACTTACCATTTAACAGCTCTATAAGACATTGTATAAATCTAGACTGTGCCAACATTACTTACCATTTAACAGCTCTATGAGACATTGTATAATTCCAGACTGTGCCAACATTTTTGCACTGATATCATCATTACAAACAGTTCCAACCAAAATAATCACCTGTAGAACCCAATCATCATCTGCTGCACCTGTATAACAAAACACAATTTTTAAAGGAACTCCACTGAAGTCAAAAAGCCTAAAAACATAAAATTTGAATTTCTTTCTTAAATCATCTGGGGCACTTAAAACATAATAATAAGCAAAAGATAATTAAGAAATATACTCAGAAATAAATTTAAAAAAATGCATTTTTTAGCTACTCTTAGGCTGATTATTGTGAAAAGTGTTGCAATGCTTATCAATTTTGTGTCATTATTCAATTACAATATTTACTGTGGGAAAATTGAGCAAGCTTTCTGGACAGATTCCATACAAAACCCAAGGCTATGGTACATTTCAAATCCATTGACAAGTGATTCAAAATTGGTGACTTTACTCACATTATCACTGATACGCTTATATTATGTTTCTGGGCAGTGATAACAAATGTCAAGTTGTCCTTATCAGCCCTTGTATTGTCAATATTGCACAAAGTAAGCCACAAAAGACAATCAGGTGTTTACTGTTGCATATCGTAATTCTATAATGGTCACATACAGAAGTTTATGTACAATATCTAAAATGTAGCACACTCGTAATTCTATAATGGTCACAGAAAGAAAATAGTTCAAAGACTGGTCTAATTTTCAACATACCTGGCTGCAGCTTCATTTTAATCCATGGAATGAGCTGATATTCCTTAAGGATAAGTTCATAATCAAGATCTGGTATAGTGAGATTTCCTAGAACACCAAGACATTCCAGGCTGAAATCTTCATCATCACTGTGCAACACGGCTTCAGCAAGATCACTGATATAGTCCTAAAATATTACATACATCTGTTCACATAGATTTCAAGTCATAAAACAAGAGCTGTCAGTAGGACAGCACGCTCAACTGCACCCTTTTAGCAGGATTCCAAGTCACGTTGTGAAAAAAAGCAGTATAAAAATAGACGGGAGAGATAACTTAACTCACCACCATCAAATCTGTTTGGCCAAAATGATGACCAATCTCTCAATATTTCAACACAAGAACTCTTCTTATAATAAAAACTGAGTTTTATGCATTTAAAACATTTCTGTTAACAAGATATTTGAAATTAAATTCTGTTATATCAGGAGAACATTAAAACCATCATAAATTGATGATGTTATTAGAATGTAACAGAAAATATAAAAATATTTCATATTTTGAACTTTTTTTTTTTTCCAAAAAATTATTCCTTTGTTCAAACATATGTAATTTGTCTTGCATAAAATTACAATTAAGCAATTTCTGCTTAAACATGTTTCCCCAAATCTCATTATCTCTAACTCACTTACAATGAACAAATTTTTGGTTGGCCCATCATGCTCAGAGACATTCCTTATCATCTTCATCAGCAGTGAATCTTTAAATTTGAACCCTCGTTTCATCAACATTTTCAGGCCCTGTCCCTCACAGATGATCTGTGCAGTGCGTTTATTAGAGGCCAGGTTGATACACAGTGCTAGCAGCTCTATGTCAGGGTTCTCTGGTGATTCTAACAACATCTTCATAACCTGCAGTATATACAAAACTTTTTACTGGATTTTTTTTTAACTTGAACATGTACAACAGACAATTTCCAAGTAAATTCCATGCAGGGATAATACATAACAAATGGCTATGACTTTAATGTCCAATCTCAAAATTTAATTTTCCATTCCAACAGTTATTTCCCCCTTCCCCAAACTCCATTTATGTCCCCCTCCCCCAACTCTCCATTTATTTCCCCCTCCCCAACTCTCCATTTGTTTTCCTCTCCCCCAACTCTAAATTTATTATCCCATCTCAAGTTTTACTTTCAACATTTATTTTCAATTTTTCCCAACACTTATTTTTCCATTTCCCCATTTCCATACTTGTTGCTGTTTTTTTTTTTTCAAACTTTTTTTTTAACACATGGAATATCTTTTTTTCAATTGAAGCTGTTGCCTTCAAATGAGCCAAAATATTTCAAGAAAATCAACCTGAAGTTAAAATGTACTAAGATTTCAGGAAAAGAAAAAATATTCACATTTCAAGAAATAATCATAACAAGAGCTGTCACAAGAGACAGCGAAGCTCGACTAATAAAATACTGGACGCAGTAAGGAGGACAAAACTATGAAAGAAAAATCAATTATGTATAATTATGTATTAAGTTATAATTAAAAAAATAATATTTGTTAACATAAATTCCATGATCAAGGGGAATAATTCTAGAAATAGTCACGCTAGAGTTATGGACCTTGTCAAACAACATTTGTGTAATGATAAGAAATATATATTTGAAGTTTGAAGTAGATACCTTAAAAAGTAAAGAAGTTTTTATATTTCTTTAAGAAAATCCTAAGTTCAAAGAGAGATAAATGTGTAAATATTGCTTCAAGAGTAATGAACATTGTCACATTAAATGTAATTGATGATAAGGAATAAGTATTGTAAGTTTGAGGTAGATACCTTTAAAAATAAAAAAGTTATAATAAAAAATAACTTTTTTCTAGTAAAATAATCTAAGTTTATGGGGAGATAATTCTTGCAATATTGGTGCTAGAGTTATGAACCTTGTCACATAAGATGTGGATGATGATAACGTAAATATATTTGAAGTATGAAGTTGATCCCTTTAGAAATAAATAAGTAACAGTAAAAAAAATATTTTTTATGGAAAACTCTAAGTTCAAAGGGAGATAAATCTGAATATATTGGTGCTAGAGTTATGAACCTTGTCACATAAGATGGGGATGATGATAACGTAAATATATTTGAAGTATGAGGTTGATCCCTTAAGAAATAAAGAAGAAACAGTAAGAAATAGTACTTTTTTAGGAAAATTCTAAGTTCAAGGGGAGATAAATCTGAAAATATTGGTGCTAGAGTTATGAACCTTGTCACATAAGATGGGGATGATGATAAGGTACATATATTTGAAGTATGAGGTTGATCCCTTAAGAAATAAAGAAGTAACAGTAAAAAATAGTATTTTTTAAGGAAAATTCTAAGTTCAAGGGGAGATAAATCTGAAAATATTGGTGCTAGAGTTATGAACCTTGTCACATAAGATGGGGTTGATGATAAGGAACATACATTTGAAGTTTGAAGTTGATACCTTAAGAAATGACAAAGTTATAGTGAAAAATATTTTACTGCACCAAAACTTTAATCTAAAATCTGGACGCGGACGCCGACGCCGGGGCGAGTAGGACAGCTCTCCATATACTTCGTATAGTCGAGCTAAAAATGAAAGTAATGACTAATTTTGCAATATTTATCACCATATTTCAGCTAGAAAAACTACCACAATAAAGGCTAGTTTTTACATATCCTGGCCTTTTCTTAGTAATTTTCTTAGCCTTTAAAAGTGCTGTTTGCAATGTGTAATTTACTTTGTTCACTTGACAATATTATACAAAACACATTTATAAAATTTCATGAAAATTGGCATGAATCTGGAGGCATTCTGCATGACTTACTATAGGTATACAGTCAGTATATGTAAACATGGATTTAGACTTGTCATCCATGGATATATGGTACAGTATACACAACACTATCAGCTTATGATTCTCATTATCTGTAAATAAAAACAACAGACCCCATATACAAACAGGTCAACAACAGCATTGCATTTAATGATAACACTCACCTGTTAAGGAGGAAAAAGTTTTGACAAAAATTTTAAGTTAAGAAAGGAGCATAACTCCAAAATTATATTCCCCCTGTCTAACAACTGCACTTTGTGATAAGCATATATTCCACGCTTTATGTTTAAAACTTTTAAAATGATTACATCATGGGCTTTTATTAAATTTTTGGAGGACAACAAGGCAGAGACCAAAATAGCTAGACTTTTTCTTTGAAACTGACACGCTAAATATACAGAAATACTGAAATGTTTTCCTTTTCCATTTTTTTTATTTTTTTTGTCAACATGATGTTAGTCAGCAAAACATTCTGGAATTTACATGTGGCAAAACAATGAGCAAGTATCAGAGTAGAACCACTGACATGTCCGTAAGCTAGCTGGATAGCTTCACCCCATAAAGGAATCCAAGTTCCAAACAATGATATTCTAATTTTATTTTCCAATAAATATACTTACTGAGGAGACCAACTAGTTTTGGCAACAAGCCAAATTTGATCATCTTACTGCGCATTTCTGTATCGAATGTAAGATTAAGTAGGAGACGAAGAGTAATGTTGAGCAAATCCTCGTGATCACACGGAACCAGCTTCGTTAACTTCTCTATTATGTTCAACTCCGCCTGTTTTAATTTAAACAAGATATGTTTGTAAAACATGTATGCCCCCTATCAGCAGCCAATTAGTCATGTGATAAGGTAATTATGCATGACTTCTGACCCAGTGATCAAACAATTAATAAGGGTTATCAAGTATCTAGTGGTCATGACCTTAACCTTTGACCCCTTGACCCAAAACTCAATAGGGGTCATCTGCTAGTCAGAACCAATCATCATACAAAGTTTGAAGTTCCTAGGCCTAAGCATTTCTAGTTAATTGATCGGAAACCGTTTTTACCTACAAAAGCAACGAGACCTTGACCTTTGACCCCTTGACCCCATAATCAATAGGTCATCTGCTGGTCATGACCAATCACCATACCAAGTTTGAAGTTCCTAGGCCTAAGGGTTCTTTAGTTATTGATCGAAAACTGTTTTAACATACAAGATCAATGTGACCTTGACCTTTGACCCCAAAATCAAAAGGGGTCATCTGTTGGTCATGACCAATCATCATGCCAAGTATTAAGTTCGTAGGCTGAAGCGTACTTTAGTTATTGATCAGAAACCGTTTTTACTTACAATGTCAATGTGATCTTGACCTTTGACCCCTTGATCCCAAAATCAATAGGGGTAATCTGCTGGTTCATGGCAAATCACCATACATAGTTTGAAGTTCCTAGGCCTAGGTGTTCTTAAGTTATTGATCAGAAACCGTTTTTACTTACAAGGTCAATGTGACCTTGACCTTTTACCCCTTGAACCAAAACTCAATAGGGGTCATCTGCTGGTCACGAACAATCATCATACAAAGTTTGAAGTTCCTAGGCCTAAGCGTTTTTAGTTAATTGATCGGAAACCGTTTTTACCTACAAGGTCAATGTGACCTTGACCTTTGACCCCTTGACCCCAATATCAACAGGTCATCTGCTGGTCATGACCAATCACCATACCAAGTTTGAAGTTCCTAGGCCTAAGGGTTCTTAAGTTATTGATTGGAAAGCATTTTTACCTACAAGGTCAATGTGACCCTGCCCTTTGACCCCTTAACCCCAATATCAATAGGGGTCATCTGCTGGTCATGACCAATCACCATACCAAGTTTGAAGTTCATGGTTCATACCAAATTCTAAAATCAAAATTCAAGGACTTTTCAAGGTAAAATTGTCATTTTCAAGGCATTTTTTTCCCCGATTGATCTTATTTAAAATTAAACTTTTACAACCATATCTGTGATATACATTTTTATTGCAATTGATCTTATTTAAAATTATACTTTTACAACCATATCTGTGATAATAAAACATGTAAATAAAACATGTGTATTTCAATTTAAGGTTCAAATGACTAGAATTGCAAAACAGTGACTAAATTTAGAAAATCAGCACAGTCAGTAGAATATATGAACACCAAAACTGTAACATATAGGTGATTGAGTAAATTCACACAACTCTATCTAGTTTTTCCTTTCTTTTTTGGATTTCTCTTCCAATTTCCTCAACTTCCAGTATCTTTTCTTTGAAGCCCTTTCTTAGAATGTTTGATTCAGTCACAAATGTTATTTTTCCAGTTTTCTCAGCCTTTTCCAACAGTTTTTCAGATTTTTCTTCTAGAATGGTGATATCAGTTTGAAGTCTTGCCTTCTTTTTATTGAGATCTTCAATAGCATCAAGGTCAGACTTCCTCTTCAATTGCCTCTCAGCTGCCATCTTCTCTTCTCTTTGTTTATCTAAATACAGCTTGTATTTAGATGATGCAGTAGAGACTGATGCCATTAGCTGCTGAGTTAATGGCACTTCCAGGACACCACCAACATGTGTTACATGGTCGCAGATTATCCTCTGAGCTACAAGAGACTGTTGCTTTAAGTTCTCTACTGTCATCTCCTTGTTAATCGAGAACCCTCTCTCGACATCTGCTTGACCATGGCAGATCACCAAGACAATTTTCAGCCTTTGAAATGAACGGAGATATTCCTGCTTGATTACTGGACACACAGGGGACATTTTCTTGATTACTAGAAGTGGGTGGGGGTGGTATTGTCATGTCATGCACAGTTTCCGTTGTGGATTGGGATGGCACAATGTTATTATTTGAATCAGATCTACTGCAATTTTCAGTTTTGACATTTATAGTTCCTTCCTGTCTGACAAATGCAAGGCCACACTTCGTCAATGACGACTTGATGTCTAGATTTTTTAGGTGCTTTGCACCCCTCGCATGCGATGTTAATGCACTCTCTCCCATTTGCGACAAATTGATGGTTTTCATACACATGGTACATTGTGCTTTTCGTCGGTCTTGTATAACTTGTTTTACCTAACTGTATTGTTGAAGCCATTTGAGCTGAAATGTACATTTCTTAGTGTATTTTCCCATTTTTTACTTTGCAATGGAAGCTGACATTTTGTACACAATTTGCAATGACATCATACACAAGTGCTTGTTAAAATCTGTGCCAAAACCGTAACGCTGGCTAAACACTACTAAAACAGATCCAAATGGGCGCACTCGATCGGGCTGCCTTCGTTCACATGTCCGATTTGTAGCGGAAAATTTGCCTGACCTTTACAGCGACAGATTTAATACCCTTTTGGATTTTCAAGGCATTTTACCGAAATTCAAGGGGGGTTACTGAAATTCAAGGACAATTTTAGTGTTTTTTCAAGGCAACCCTGAATTCAAGGACTTTTAAAGGTTGAAACCAAATTCAAGGACTTTTTAAGGCCCGTGCGAACCATGAAGTTCCTAGGCCTAAGGGTTCTTTAGTTATTGATCCGAAACCGTTTTTACTCAAGTGGTCAATGTTACCTTGACCTTAAACCCCTTGACCCCAAAATCAATAGGGGTCATCTACTGATCATGACCAATCACCATATCAAGTTTGAAGTCCCTAGGCCAAAGGGTTCTTTCGTTATTGATCGGAAACCGTTTTTACCTACAAGGTCAATGTGACCTTGACCTTTGACGCCTTAACCCCGAAATCAATAGGGGTCATCTGCTGGTCATAACCAATCACCATACCAAGTTTGAAGTTCCTAGGCCTAAGGGTTCTTTTGTTATTGATCAGAAACCGTTTTTACCCAAGAGGTCAATGTGACCTTGACCTTTGACCTCTTGACCCCAAAATCAATAGGGGTCATCTACTGATCATGACCAATCACCATACCAAGTTTGAAGTTCCTAGGCCTTTAAGTTCTTTAGTTATTGATCAGAAACTGTTTTTGCTTACAAGGTCAATGTGACCTTGACCTTTGACCTCTTGACCCAAAAATCAATAGGGGTCATTTACTGATCATGACCAATCACCATACCAAGTTTGAAGTTCCTAGGCCTTAAGGTTCTTTAGTTATTGATCGGAAACCGTTTTTGCTCACGAGGTCAATGTGACCTTGACCTTTGACCCCTTGACCCCAAAATCAATAGGGGTCATCTACTGATCATGACCAATCACCATACCAAGTTTGAAAGTTTCTAGGCCTTAAGGTTCTTTAGTTATTGATCGGAAACCATTTTTGCTTACAAGGTCAATGTGACCTTGACCTTTGACCCCTTGACCCCAAAATCAATAGGGGTCATCTACTGGTCATGACCAATCACCATACCAAGTTTGAAGTTCCTGGGCCTAAGGGTTCTTTAGTTATCACTCGGAAACCATTTGGTCTACGGACCGACGGACCGACAAGTGCAAAGCAATATACCCCCTTTTCTTCGAAATGGGGGCATAATAAAGGTGAATGAGTATATTTCACAGGAAACCTAATAATATTTTCTTATTATACCAATTTTCATAATTTATAATAAATGTATGACATGTATTGTTTATAAGATGACCTGTGCCAAGGTCATTCTCAGAGGCTACAATGCCTCCATTAAGTATGTGAAATCATCCGCTAAGTATGACATAGTTTTAGACTTGTCCTTTTGACAGTGCACCTAGTTCCATTTACCTTCGGATGAACTTTCATTGTATTTTATTTCTTAGCTTAAATAATCTCTTTTTTTTTCAAATCTGTGTCCATAATCAATTTGTACCAGTAGAGCCTGAACAGACTTCACATTCACGCAGTTTGACCACACTCTACAAACTCTCAAAGACTACATTGTTAGCTTCTTAGTTATTTTGTAATTTGATACAAATCTCACTTATACGTCTATTGGAATGTTCAAAATCTAAGGCAAAACAATATCCATTTTACAAACAAAAGATCAGTTTGAACATGTTTGTTTCAGCTTGATTGCGAAACATGTTAGAGCAACTTATGTTAATCATTTTCGAGCCGGTTTCCTGGAATGAACCAGTAGTGATGCCATACGAGGAATGATTATCATGACCCGAGTAGGGCTCGAAACCTTGGAAACCTCGAAATCTTTGGGTTGAGAGGCAGACACCTAAACCACTAGGCCCCTTAAAAATTAGGATTAAAACTGATATAAAGCAAACCATGTCAATATATAATGATAAAATTACATACCATTTCTATTTTATTCTCCACAAAGATGCTCAGCTTTTTAAGGAAAGACACGACAAGTATAAGCAGCTCAAAGTTATCTCTCTCCAGAGATTTCACCAACATCTTTATACAGTTTTTATTCTTCATCTTCATTTCCACCTTCAAATCTTCCGCCAAGTTCAGCAGTAAATAGTATGCCACTGAAAGAAAGGCAAGGACTCTAAATATCACAGTCTTGCTAATTCATTAAAAGGTCCGGCAACGTGGCCGAATGCCAGTAGTCTAAGAATTGCCGTTCTTTCCATGGGCAAGAAAAATTACAATCATTAAGCTTAGTTCCAGGAATGGATTTAAGAAAATTTGAATAAATTTATAGCTTCCAGCACAATTGAACTAAAATAAATTAGTAAAAACGAAACTAATGCATAGAGAAATACCACAAAAGTAATGGACGCTAAGGAAATTAACAATTAATGCAGGCTGAATTTAATTTAATATTCATTCCTGAAGAAATGTCCTCTCCATATTTGCTTTTATTTTTATGAAAACTTCATGACGGCTCTAAAATTATAATTAATTCTTTTGAAAACTTTATTCGAATGGGCAAACATGTTGTTGAGTAAACAAACAAAATGATTTTAACTAGTCCAAATTATCATTATTATTAGAAATTATCTGTAACTTGTAATATATAGGAATTTATCTTACTCTGTTGCTAATTTATCAACATACCTCTTAATAATTGTTCCTGTTTTCTGACGACTCCCTCAAACTTCTTTAAACTTTTATCATACTCTTCTTTTGCTTTCCTGTTGCCTTTGTCAGTTTCAGGTAACATATGTTAAGGTTATAAAAAACAAATATATATATATTTATTATATAATATACTAATTTTTATGAAATATTGTAAAATATTGAGAATATTGATGACATAAAATGCCTTTTTTTATTTTCTGTATTTTCACTGTAATAATTTGTCACTCAGACTGCTGTGAAACATATTCTTCCGTATTTCACTGGTGTCTTGCCAGACTCCTTTTTTCTAAATTCAGCCAATACACAAAATTGAAGGGAAAGGATTTCAAACTGTTATGTCTGTAAAAAAAATTATATATATATTAATAGAAATGTACAATAAACAGAAAATTAAAGTTTTTTTCTATAAATACAGGATTTATTTTCATCATGTGACAGGCCACCATGTTTTTTTTTTATAGATTTAAATAAAAGGATATCAGCTTTCCTCTTCTTTTCTAATTCTTCTTTCCACAGGTCATACTTCTTTAGCTCATGTTCCACAATGTTCATAGACAGAGCTCCAATCTTAAAGTGTAATATGACCCCATGAAACTGTGTAAAACTCGAAAAACAGAAGAATATGTAGATGATATTGGTGGCAAGTTCTGATGACTTTTTCCAGTCATCCCTCAATACACGAGCCAGCGCACTTACCACAGTCTCTGAAAACAATAAAGACATCAAATTATAAAATTATGTTTGATAACAGTTGAACTATTAGGATAGACTTTAGAGAGATGCGGTATTAATTTACTTTACACTAGTGGCATAGGCTTATGTACATAATTAGTACATCTGAGTCGCAACAGCTTCCAGAAGAGTAACTTTAAAATTTAGAAAATATCTGGATAATTTTGTAAAAATGCAAAGTAGCAAAAAGGTTATATTCCTTAACCAGTTTGAACTAAAAGTGGCAAGTGCTTACCACATGCTTACAGACAGGCATGTAGGCATATCTGTGCTCTTTGACCAAACTCTATGCTGTGGTTGGTTCATATTTTATATTTTGATATTGAAATCCCTTAAAATTAAGTTAAAATTTGGTATGGACTGTTTTAAATTTAAAGCAAGGCTAATCTATATCACTGAAAGAGTCAAAAGTTAAGTACAAATACAAGGTCATGTTAAATAAAAGTGAAGTATCATACCATACTATTTTTAATAAATGATACCATTAAAATCCTTTTCAGCATTTCAATGAATTAAAACCCAGTCAACAATACCGTTTTGAAAAAGTTCTTCAAGATTATCTGGATTTCGTGACAACTGTAGTAACAAAGCCGAGCCTCGTATTTTGTCTCCGACATCCTCGTACAACAGCTCAAGGTACTCATCGAGATCATTTATATTGGCGACTTCATCGATCTCTGTAGCATCGTACATGGGCACTGCTGGCGTCTCATGCAACTCGGTTTTTCCAGATGCTGTAAAATAAATGATACCACAAGGCCATTATTTAACAATAAATGACATGTTAGAAGTTATTGAAAGAATGCTTATCTGAATTCAACATAGTGATCTTAAAAAAGTTTGTGCTAATTTCTAGAGGAGTCATCCAGTGACTGAGTATCCAAACGTTTAAATCAAGACGTCTGGTATAAAATATTTTAGTGTTAATTAAAACGTAAGAATATTGAGCTAAAATATTGTAATAGAAGTGTGGCAAATAAATGTGTTAAGACAACTGATGCCATCATGGTGATGACACCCCTACTTTATTGTATTTAAGTAGATCATAAACTCGGCAGGCGATAGAAAATCTGGATACAGTACCGGTATGTGGATGACAATTTCCACTCCAAACTAATTTCTTTGAATTTACAGTAAACTACTCAGGTCTTGGTAACCTTGTTTCTTTTTCTATATCAAAAACTTGACGACAAAAGCAATAGTGATAAATACACTACATATGATAATAAGATTCTGCCTACCTTTACTAGGAGCAGACTCCTTCCTGTTTTGAAGGTAGTACAGTAACTGTTCAACCTCAGGCAGTTTACTGGGGTGTATCAGTTTACATTTATCAATTATCTCTTTGGCTAAAGCTGACAGGTCACTGTTGGGATTTAAACTTTTGACACGTATGCTGTAAAATGGAAGCAAGAATTTACTTGATTTATTTTGGATGTGTGAACTTAAGTAAAATGAACATGTTAGTAGCTGAAAGGCCTAATCACATACTGGATATATATAAGATATATTAAAAGTACTTTAATTAAAGTTTATTTAGTAATTTGGCAATTGTTAGATACAGGGAAAATTTAATAAATATACTTAGCATTGTGTTGTTAACTTCAATGACACATTTTAATAAAACTATTGTTAACATTTGATTGATACAAAGAATGGGGCAGTTTTTTTCAAAAATTTTAGGCACTTGTTAAAGTTTTTCCTAAACATTTTTCGTTATCAGTATTTGGTCGATGACCAATATAATGGCCACATTTTTAATATATATGTACAGCCATTTAAGCTTAACAGTGAACATTGAAAAAATGAGCATAATGAAACTTCAACTTGTGAGACAATTACAATATTAGTTTTAAAGATTTCTGACAGGTTTTATGGCCATATGTAATTGGTTGTTTGCATATATAACCAGAGCTGCAAGGCAAGGGTTATACTGCTAACAACTGTTCATATACAGGCATACAACCTGTCAGGAACTTTTTTTACAAAATTAATAAAATAGCAAACTTCCTTTTTTGATAGAACAAAAAATGAGACGTCTTTATAAATTGACAATTACCAATGTATATAAAACTATATTAACAGTATTATAAAAAAAAACCTATATAAATGTCACAATTATTCTAATAAAAGCGACTTTACAAATGTGTAGTACTGTATTTTTTGTCAACAGCTGATTTTTAAGATCTATGTTTTACATTTTCTGGCATTCCTTCCTCTCACCCAGCATCGGGTCGCCAAGCTCCCCCAAGATTGTAGCCTCCAGCTCATAGTTCACCACTAATGCCTTCTCTGTTGGATGTACATCTATACTTCCTCCCTTCACCTTCCTGAAATCATGTAAAATAATCTAATTATCTTTTCTGGGTTATAAGGGCTGTCAGTAGAACAGTGTGCTCAACTATTCTCAACCTTCTGACTTGTCAAAAGTACAACATTTTGTTTGATGTGTTTGTCTGAGTGGGTTTTTACTGTTATTGTTAAGAGATGCTGAAATTGTATGCTACTAATTCTAGAATTGTTCTACAAACACTGTTCTGTAGGGTCCCTGTGATCTTGAAAGGAAAAATTGTAGACAAATGCATTCAATGAAGTATATAACTTTATTTGGCAAATGCATTCACTGACACTGTGATAGATTCTATATTTAGTCTGCTTTAACTTGCCATTTCTTGTTAAATTTTTGAAAACCTATGATTCACGATATATTTTTCTTTACACATATGGGGAAGTCAAAGGCATGACAGCTATCGACTATAGATTACACATTCACACGTGGAACATGATTTACTAATACTCATACGAGGAACATGGTTCAGATAAAGAATAATAGTGACCTCGTGGAGCAGGCCTGCAAGGTGAGCTTTACAGAAATGCGAGTACCTGCTAGATAGTTATGGTTTGGAAAACTTTTGCCGTAAGTACTACAAAATTATGGATAATTCATTAATCACAACTTTATAAATTACAAGATTAGGATTAAAGTCAAGGATAACAAAAACGGATGAATAGATTGGTCTCCTGCGTACTTCTATGGGGCAGGGAACCAAAATAAAAGGAAGCAGTGCATAAAATACCATATCATATGGCACTTTGATTAATTGATTATACAACAAGGTGTTATGTGCATCTGATAAAAGATTTGGAATAAACAATATGTTTTACAGCACTTCAAGATAATGGATAATTAAATTATTCCTGTAGACAGTTGTACATAATGGCATTGTATATCAGGGCTCGAGCTAGTGGGCGATTCGGGCGAAATAGTCGCCGAATTCCGTCTGACTTCGCCGACATCTTACATGAAAGCGAAGACGAAGTCGCCCGATTTTATTGATCCATTATTGAAAATTACCAACAATAACAATAACTGTGAATAACATGTTGTGTGTGTTTGCTTTGTTTACCCTCGCCGCCGGAAAAAGGGACTGTCATGCATCTCAATCAACGCGAAATGTCATTAATCCGTTTGTTTACCAACATGCCATAAAAGTCTAATTAACAGACGCTCGAGGAACAATCATAATTCACGTTTTAATCGAGGCGACATTATTAAACCAATCATTAAATCGCTAACATACAACTACCTGTAACAATTATTTATGATGGACGGATCAAACGTCAATTAAATTTTCAGTATCGAATGATTGTCCGCTCGACATATAACTGTAACGGTAATTTTAAATGAAAGTTATGATAACCTTTTTTGGCGACGAGTTAAATTTGATAAAATTGACGGCGTATTACACTGTATTTATTACAAATGTAGTAAAATATAGTTAAATTAAAGATCGTTTCTTTCGTTATCTACTTTCATTTTCTTTACAACATAAGTGAATATGAATATAATGTCCGGCGCAAGCTTTTTAATAGTAAATCAGAAGGGAATAACTGTTAATCCACCCATGATATGATCCATGATAGGAATCAACTATGGCTTTTTTATCTTCATTTAATGCAATGGTTGCATTACATGATACTCATTCTTATTATTACTTGTTTCAAACTACTTTTAAATTAAAATTGAATATTCTGTTGTAACACAAATCCAATTCATTTAATAAGATATGTACAGTGAGTCAACATAATTGCGATAACATACAACAAACATCGATAAATGAATCTCCTCACTTCTCCCTAAAGTCTCCCCACTTCTCCCTAAAGCAGCTGGAGGGAGAAGTGACTTCTCCCTAAATTTTGAACCTAGCTTGAGCCCTGTATATACAATAAAAAAATCAAGACTATTTAAATAAATGACATGTTTATGAAAAGTGTATACATCATAGGCATTTCCCTCAATATAAACTTTGTGCAATTTGATTTGATTGAATAAAATCATATATAAGTTTTATAGCATAACAAATAAATATATATCAAATTTTGAAACTTGACTTGCTTGTTTTCGTTATAGATCTATTTTGTGAATAAATATGACATAATAAATAAATAATAAATAAATTTATTTACTTTTTTATTTTTTTTTTAATCAATAAACATGTGGGGTGAATTGTCTTATCAATTTTGGGGAGTGAACTGTCTTGAGGGGTGAGTTGTCTTGGTTTATAGGGGGATGAATCATCTGGGGGGTGAGTTGTCTTGTTTCCATCCGGCCGCTTACAGTTACACATCTTCTCCCCTAAACAGTAAACAGTTCTGAACTGTGACATACTCCCCCACTTTATTGAAATTTTTCCTCCAATTTCTAATGGGTAAAAAGAACAATGTGAATTTGACTTCGGAGCTTAAACCATCACGGCCCCACGTTGGCGCAAAAGTCACAGGGTGAGAAAAATAGCAGCCTGACCGGGACTCTAACCCGCGCCCTCAGAATACCATACGACGGCCCTACCGACTGAGCTATCTGGCCGCTTAAACATCTTCTCCCTTAAATAGTGAACATTTCTGAACCGTGACACTAACATGCAGTGTTTATTTCTTTATATAACTACTACCCCAAAACGGAAAAGAGTCAACTCGGCACGGGTCAACTCGGCACGGGTCAACTCGGCCCACTTTAAAAAATATATTTAACGTAGTAATATTAAAAACAAGAGCTGTCTGTAGGACAGCACGCTCGACTATTCTAAGTGCTTGATAGTAAAAGAGCTTTGATAATGTTAAATTTTTTAAGTTCACAAAAGGGCTAATTTTTTTTTATAAATTCATGTTATAGGTCTTAGAGAGAGTCTAATTATACAGAATTGGCTTGACTATTTGGAAGGTCACGAGGGTTTTTTTATTGAGTATAATAATACTAATTACCTATGAATACATAAATTTGACAGAAAAGGTACAAAAGCTTGTTATTAAGATGTTTTATCAAGTAAATCACTGCTTTATTATTATGAATGCATAAAATTGTCCCAAAAAAGGCACCAACCCTGCAGTACTTATTGAGATAACAGCTTACAAGCAAAACTTTACCATGAATTTCTAAGTTGAAAAAGGGGAGAAAAAATGCATAAATGCAAGATAGAATTATGGATCTTTGTCAGTGACCTACAATTATGACCCTAAATGCATATGTGAAGTTTTAAATAAATATCTTTAATAGTTATTGAGATATGTAAAACTTGCATGTAAACATTAACCAAGAGACTAAGTAGAAAAGGGGATATGAATCAGCCTTAATGCAAGATAGAGTTATGGAACTTGGTCAGTGACATAAAATTATGCCCCTCCAATTATGACCCTAAGTGCATGTGTAAAATTTCAAGTAAATATCTTTGAAGATTTTTAACCTTTAACCAAAATTTCTAAGTTTCAAAGGGGCAAATAATTCTGCAAATATTGCAGACAGAGTTATGCAATTTTGCAAACTGATGTACATTGTTATTATAAATAAGAATTTTAAATTTCAATTGAATATCTCGAGCAATAATTGAGATATTTGACTTTACAAAAAAACTTTAACCAAAATTTCTAAGTTCCAAAGGGGCATAATTCTGTCAATATGGTAGGCAGAGTTATCCAACTTGTCAATCTAATGTACATTGTTACTATAAATAAGTATTGTTAGTTTCATTTGAATATCTCAAGCAATAATTGAGATATTTGACTGTACAAAAAACTTCAACCAAAATTTCTAAGTTAAAAAGGGGCATAATTCTGTCAATATTGTAGGCAGAGTTATCCAACTTGTCAATCTGATGTACCTTGTTACTATAAATAAGTATTGTAAGTTTCATTTGAATATCTCAAGCAATAATTGAGATATTTGACTGTACAAAAAACTTTAACCAAAATTTCTAAGTTAAAAAGGGGCATAATTCTGTCAATATTGTAGGCAGAGTTATCCAACTTGTCAAGCTGATGTACCTTGTTACTATAAATAACTATTGTAAGTTTCAATTGAATATCTCAAGTAATAATTGAGATATTTGACTTTACAAAAAACTTTAACCAACGCAGACGCCGACGCCGACGCCGGGGCGACTACAATAGCTCTCATATTCTTCGAATAGTCGAGCTAAAAATTATGAAACAAAAACATGTTTACTTAATATCATAATTAAGCCTCTAATTAATTGCAGGTGGTCACTAATCAATTTTAAATGAATGCGTCAATCATAATTATCACCTAATTAATCGGTATCCTTACGAACACACTGATTGATAATAATAGCCTGTGACAATAAGAGTCCCTTTAATGTCTTTAACCAATTTCATTTAATTTGTTTGTAATTGTCAAAAGCTGAAAATTAAGTCCGTGTATTATACATAATTACAAATATTACAAAAAATAGTGATTACACAAACCTAAATATAAATAATTGAAAAGTGGGCCGAGTTGACCCGTGCCGAGCTGACTCGCGGGCTGAGTACGTTTTAGGGCCGAGCTGACCCGGAATCCCCCAAAACGGTACCATTCCCAATAGAAAATAGACATTAAAATTCCCAATTTCCAATGTTAAATTCCCATAATGGCTGTTCAAAATGCCCAAAAGGCCAAGTGATTTTTCTAAAATCATTTAAATCCAACATATTCATATAAATCACCATTCAGTAGTTCTATTTTGACAGTACACTAACAAAGTTCTATGCTCCTGCGTTTATGAATAAATTATGCAAATGAGCCACGTTGAGCCGCCATGTTGGAATTTCGGTAAGCGTGTTGGAAATTGCTACCTGTGCGTTTTGAAAGCTCGTCCTTACTTACAGTTTCCTTGAATGTAGGAAAACTTGGTTTTGTTTGATTGCATACTGAATGATAGGTATTACAAAATAAATATAATGAAAATCGATCAATCAATAATTGTATACGAGCGTTATAAAGTCAATTTAATTCGTCAGAATAATAAGATTCTGTTGCAGGGTATCGGTAAAAGACTGCTTTTTTCCGTATTTGAAATTTATTTAAACACGGAGACAATTTTTCTCAAACAGGTTTATGAATATATTTTACGTTGCAACAGAGTTTACCGTGTGTCCATTCCTTATTTAAATTGTCTAAGAAGTTAAATCTGTTTGTTTACATGTAAATGTGTACCGTCATTTTGACCGACCGGATATGTAATGAACATTACGCCGTGTAGTGCAAAGTTTTGGACATTGCAATTAAAATTAACGCTTACGTTGATTCAAACTGTTCCTTGTCAACAAAATTGAAACCGAAAGTAGTGGTTGTTCAAGAATTTAATCGAATAAAATGGGTGGGATTTAACCACCGCGCATGCCCTGTGCGAACGTATTGTTTACATCCGGTCGTAGCATAGGGTAAGAGTGTAAACTTTGTTAGTGCAGTAGAAGCTGTTAGCTATCTTTAAAAAACTTTGTTAGTGCAGTAGAAGCTGTTAGCTATCTTTATTCATGATGTCTAATCTCATTTGTAGCTCAAAAAATGCATTAAAAAAATTCCCAATTTTAGTCAAAATAACGCATTTTTTCCCAATCACTCTGGTACCGGCACCATTCCCAAAGTAGAGAAAAAAAACGCTGACATGTGAACATAATCATCGTTAATCATATTTATTTTTGATGTTTTCATGATGTTCTCTTATTAAAATGACGGAAATGGGTGTAAGTGTGAAAAATGCATTGCAAAGTTACGTATAAATACCTTTTCAGATATCTTGCGTCTTCTGGCTGCATCCTGAAAGAGGTAACTAACAAAACGTGAATTAATTTTTAATAAAAATAAAATTTTCAGCCATCACAAAATATTTGTAATCTCTAAACAAAAGTTAAAAAAGAAAATAATTCAAGAATAGATATATATTGTATATAGGTATAATGTTTGACAATAAATAATATTGACTTTTTGCAAAACATGAATTGTAATTTTTATTTTCTCTTTTTATAAATCATTTTAAAATTAAGGTGGTTCAGAGATTGTATATACTTAGTCTGTTTCTGTCCGCTCCGTTCTATACCGCACTGCCGATTCAACAACACTAAATTGTTAGAGCGGTCCAGTCCCAATCTCCGCGCAACGGTTACTTCTAATATTTGCCAAGTTATAGTTGGTGTTACCTCCAGTCCCCATCCAGCCAGCCAGCCACCACATTATATTTAAATATTGGATACTTTTCTATCCATTTTTTAAATCAAAATATTAATATTATATTTAAATATTGGATACTTTTCTATCCATTTTTTTAATCAAAATATTATAATGGAAGTTCCTTTTTCGTACTAACAAATGTATGAATGTAATATCTCATTGTGGGACATAATAAAATAGCACTGAGAAATTACATTACGTTACTGCTGCAAAATTGATTACTTCTAATACTTCAAATATATATATAATAACTTGAAATACATGAACACTGAAATACTTCTTTATAGAATTTTTTGAACAAGTTTCAAGTTTATTGGCAAACCGACAATTAACATTGTCTTTGGCCATATCAAGACTTTCTTAAATTCTTTGTTCCTTGCTGTTCAAGACTACATCAACAAAAGCAAGAGATTTCCGTATGGACGCTAATCTTTTATTTCAATGCCATGCTGTTATAGTGCCGGTTTTTTTTTTTGCTATAATTCTTCTTCCTTTCCTTTCTTTTCCTGATAGTTTATATCTTTCCATTATATATGTTTCAAAACATCCACCAACCAATTACGTTGGTTGGCAAAGGGTTTTGAACTACATACTCATATGTTTTGCATATACAATGTATTATAAATTTTCTTTTAATTACAAATTTACTCGTCATACTGTCAAACATATCTATGTACATGTACATGTATATGCAAACTGCCAATTTTTAGCAAATAAATTGTAGGACGTGCATTTCATGTGTTGTAAATTTAAAATGTGCATGCATACTTGTTTGAAATAAACTATATTTTTAAAAAATCTCTGTAACACAGAATTCATTGATTGCAGTTGGGCGTTATACTGTTCTCTCATCTTGTGTCTGGAAATAAGAAAACCTTTGCATCAGTTTGTGCGTGATTTTACTCAGAATTATACTAACTGAACAATATTGCTATTAAACAAACAGGCCTTTCTTATAAACTCACTCTGTCTTTCACAAAAAATTATTATTCTCTATAACGCCAATGACTATGCATATATTTATTTTTATTAAATGAAATGTACATATGTGACAGTTGATTACATAATCAATTATCAATTAAGGACCATTAAAAATATGACATAGACAATATCAAACATAAACTTTTGGAATTTTAAACAGAAGAGATTATGCACTTCAATTTTGTATATACAAGAATATCATGTACAGAAATTAACATTTTGTTTGTGACACAATGTTATTACCAAAGACAAAGAACACAATTAAGAAATGCAACCATGTGCATATTGCAGATTTATGGTGAATTGCTGTCATTACATATAGATAAATCCCCAAGATTAAATTTAACCAGTGATTTTGAGTTTTGGAAACGAAGCAAAACAGCAATATTGCATTAGTTAGATAATGAAAACTGTAAGATAAAATCATAATCTTGATGAAAAGCAGAAGAAACAGAAATATACATTATTATATAAGCACATACGTATAATCGATGGTCATGTTTTAATATTCCTAGACATATACACAAAATGAGACAGTATAAAAGCATGGTAATCATGTTTTTTTACCATTTCCTCATCAAAAAGCAAATCTTTTTCTCCAAGTGTTCCATAAGTTAAATGAAGCCAATTTAAACATTTTTTCATTTTTTGCATAAAATACATTTGATTAATAAAACTGTTCATTATTAAGACACTAGAGAACATGTTTTAAGTAAGAGAAACTTTTGGTGCTCCGTGATTCGATCGGTCCATTCTCTCACTTAATTGAAAGCTTTCAAGTTACTCCTAAACAAAAATGCTGCTTACTACTTTCCAAGCCAGTGATAGGGGGCTTGGAGGGTAGCTTGCACTTATTTACAGTCCGTGAACAGGCACAATCAATTCGAGCCCGCAACATTCTCAATCTTGCCGTTTTGTGGTTTTCTTTTTTATCTTATTATGGCTCCAAAAAGCAAGGGTTTTGTCTAACACGCAGCTTTGAGTCCTCTATATGGAAGTTTCTTTTGATATCCAATGAGGGCGGATTTTTTTAGTCACCAAAACAAAGTCCCTGAAATTCTTTAATGAATATGGTATAAACCCGTATCGCAGGTTTCATTTGAATGGTGCATTACGTGACCGACAAAGAAGGTAAACATACATGTACTTCATATATTTTTATTGTTTTTTTGTGTTTTTTTTTTTTGTTTTTTAAATATTTTCAATGTGAGTTGCCTGTTTTTTTTTACCCTGTTCGTATATGAAGTGCACTAGATCTGTATGAGATAAAGAGAACAATCTCAAGGTTATTTAAAGGAACTCCACTGAGGTTCAAAAGCCTAAAATCATAAAATTTGTTTTTTTACACAGATCAGCTGGGGCACGTAAAACAGGAAGACATGAAAAAAATAATTAAGAAATTTACTCAGAAATGAATTGAAAAGCGTATTTTTGTGACATTTTTATTATAGGATTTGAGTGAAAAGCGTTTAGACGCTTTTCAATGTTGGGTCATTTTTCACTACTTGAATAATTATTCTGGATAAACCGAGAGAGCAAATGATCTAAAGTTTTGCAAACAAGTTTCTGATGTAGACCTACATCAAACTGAACATTAATCTCGAAAAAATATTTCTAGTCTCGTCATGTCAAAAACCCCTTTAATATATCATAAATCATAATGCAAGGAGATGGTGATAACAGCAAATTTAGTTTGCTAATGCATGAACAGTTTATATAATCTAATAACAGTTTAAATAATCTCATGTCACCTGGGATTTCACAAATACTGATTCTACTTTTTGACACCGATAAATGCTTTGTGGGAGATTATACCTTTTTAGAAATGGATTGCAATGTAAATAACACTAAATATGCGATGACCTCGTCATGACAATGTTGTGTCAAATAAAAAAGGTGCACGCTGGGAAATTGAAGTTTATAAAGATGTGATAAATGATTGAAAATTTAGGTATCAAGTAATTCATAAGTTATATACACAAAAAAATATGGAACATCTGATCATCTAAAACTTAAAATTAAACACATTATCGTGTATTGAATACAAAGTAGAAATGTAACTACTATGGTAAGTCTGGTTATATTAATTTCAAAATGTAAAAAACGGGTCACACAAACAACCAATCTGTCTTCTTTTAAATTATCTTATTCATTTTTTTTTTCATTTAAAGCACCAACGAATTTCAAATTTTGTGTTTTGCACCTCAGTGAAGTGAAGCTCCTTCTTTAAGCAAAATAGCTAAATAATTTAATTAACTAATTTCATAGAATGTGTCTTGTTCACCTCAAACAATTTTTGTTGCGAAATGTGCAGTGATTATACAAAGTTTAGCCGAGATAGGGCATATCGATTTACACCAGTTTTATATGTACATTTTAAAACCTTGAAGATAACACTACACGAACACCTGATATAGGTTGCTTACATACGCATGAACTGAGGATTGTTCAAATATGTTTTCAACAGGCTCTATCAAACCGAGACTGCAACGTTTTCAATTTTGCCGTTTTGGGCGTTCTGTAGCGGCTGTGTTGGTTGGAACTAAGAAATGTACATGTTTCTTGGAATTTTTACAGGTTAATACTGATTTGTAATGCCGATAATCAGATAATATGATATTTTGAGTGCGTGCTTCGTGCCACTCCGTTCTCACAGTTCCCCTCAATTTTTAATGTGAAAAATAATCCAAAAATAAAAGGCGTTGCGCACATAAACCGGGCTTAACACTATTAAGTGTTGAGAAACTGGCTCAAGCCGGTGCTAGGGGGCGTGAGGTATGTTGCTCTTTTTCATTATCCCTCATGTACAGACACAATCAAACCGAGTCTGCAATTTTCATGTAAGTTTTCTGTTTTTAATGCTTCCGAGGGATCACTTTTTACCAGATATTTAGAATCGTACAAATAGATTTTCAATTTATCTCTGGGCATACTTCTATATTATATTTTGCAGATTTTTCCATTCTAAGTGTTTCACTTGACCATTGTGAGAATTTCAAATATCATTTTTTTACCTTCGTTTAGCTCTATGAATAATTCGTTCTTAAAAAGCAATCGGAAACGAATTATAATCCTATAATATATTCCGGAAGATAAATAGACCAATGCAATCAATTAAAAGTGGTCTGAAATGAGCCGAAAAATATGATGAACAAGATCAACATGGAAAGGCGGCGTTCAATGAAATAGGTTGAGGTGCGTCAAATGATTTGTCTAGGTTTTCTTGTACGAAATAACGTCAAGGTATTTTGGAACTATCCTTTATGATCTACTTTATCCATGTAATCTATACTTAAAAGAAAAGTTACGTCGCACAAATACTGAATTTACATGAACTTTTAATGTATGATTTCTTGTAATTCTGTTGTGATAAATGATTCCGAGGGATACTTTTGTTTCTTTCCAGATTTTTATACTTCACATCAGCAGGTGTCAAGTGCTGTTTGGCAAATGTACAAAGTTGTCCCGTACTTCACTTCAGTGTTGTTATATTTTTCTGGTCCTTCGGGATCATTGATGCCAGCACTATTAAGTGTTGAGAATTGAGTCCCGCTCAAGCTGGTGCTAGGGGCGTGAGGGATGTAGCACGTGTTCATTATCCCTCATGTACAGGCTCAATCATACCGAGACTGCGATTCTCTTGCAATTTTGTTGTGACTAATGCTTCCAAGGGATGACAATGTTTCCACATTTTCATATGGAATACATATTTGATATGATATAAATATATGAATATATTATGCAAAGATATTCTATATTTCTAAAATAGATAAATACAGAATCCCTAAAGAAAGCCCAACACGGCAAAATTGAAAATGTTGCAGGCTTACCTAGGAATTCCTATGGGTACTAATTGTGCACCCCTGGTCGCCGATTTGTTTTTGTACTGCTATGAAAGAGACTTTATGTTGAGTCTCTCGGAAGAGAAACAACAAGATGTTATAGTCGCATTTAATAATACTTCCAGATACCTTGATGATATTTTTAATTTAGATAATCCTTATTTTGATCAAATGGTGTCTGACATTTATCCGCATGAACTACAACTTAATAAAACGAACTCTTGAAATTTTAGTACATCATTTTTGGATCTTCATATTACTATCAACAATAATTCTATTCACACGAAAATTTATGATAAAAGAGATGACTTTGACTTTTGTATAGTTAATTATCCACATTTGGATGGAGACGTACCCCATGCAACATCCTACGGGGTTTATGTTTCTCAGTTAATTAGATTCGCTAGAGCTTGTAACAACGTAAAGGATTTCAACGAGCGGAATATTTTTATTACCAGCAAGCTTCTAAAACAGGGCTACCGCTATCATAAATTACGGAAATATTTTACTAAATTTTACAATCGTAACTTTGATTTAATTTCTAAATTCAATAGTGATTTAAAAACTCTTCTGCGACAAGGGATTAGCCAGCCTGGATTTTGTGGCGATGTGGTTTACAAACTTCGTAAGATTTTGGGTCATGGTAATTTTTCTGCTGTTTTTACTAAAATTATTAAACGTTTTATTAAAAGAGGTTATGACCCTACTATTTTAAGACATACTGCATGTTTAGTGTTCAACCCTTTTACAGTTGGACACTACGCTTTCCTCTTTTGATTGCATCTGACGGACCAAGTGGGAGACTCTATGATGGATAGTTCGTAAAGCCCTTTGGGACTGAATTGTCTTAATGTTCGTCTTCTGCTTTGCTTCGTCGGGCCCTTGTAGGTGATTTTCTTGTTGCTCTGTCTTCCTTTAAGACATTGAGTACTTTTGTTATGGTCATTGGGTTTACTTTTATATGTTTCTACATGATCATTTTAGTGTTTTACTTATTTAACCTTTTGTAACCATGACAACTGTTAGAATTTCACTTGGCGGGGATTCATTTTATTTACACTGTCTCGTTTATAGGAACATGGTGGGGCTAAGAGCGAGGTTTGGTGCACCATTAACCGGTTTAAACTCCCCAGCAGTCATTATTATGCTGCTGACCGTTCCAAGGCGGCGCCCCACTGTGTTCCTCAGATGTATGTCTATGTTGTTTCATACTGTTTTGGTGACACTTTTGCTTGTGTCCCTTGTTGTTTTCTCGTCTACGGTAAGTATCTTCCCCATTGCCTCTAGTTTTTATTTCTTTGATTAACCCCCCCCCTTCCCCCGGTCTCCTGTCCCCTTCCCCTTTGTGGGCCTATTATTATTTTCTTTGAATTCCTAATCAGTTACAAATTATTTATCATTTATTGATTAACGTGTCGTTGCCCTGTCCTTTTTATGTTTGGGGTCCGCCTGGGCTCCTTGCCATTGGTTCTTGTTGCTGGGTCATATGGGGGTTGCGTTCATTGAACGCCGCCTTTCCTTGTTGATCTTGTTTTTCATATTTTGTCCATGAACAGGCTCAATCAAACCGAGCCTGCAACATTTTCAATTTTGCCGTGTTGGGCTTTCTTTAGGGATTCTGTATTTATCTATCTTGGTTTGATTGAGCCTGTTCGTGGACGGTACTGGAAAGTGCAAGTAACTGTCCACGCCCCCTAGCACCGGCTTAAGCAGAATTCACATTTAAACATGAAATAGTAAAATTTTGAATTTAGAAACATCCGCAGATGTGTTCATATAATGAACATCCGCAGATGATTTCATATAATTATAATGTATCTTCGATATGAATAAAATATGATAAACAAGATCAACAAGGAAAGCCGGGTTTCAGTGATGATGATATTCCAAAAAATATGAAAAACAAGATCAACAAGGAAAGGCGGCGTTCAATGAACGACTATAACAACTATTAACCTTTGAAACCAAATATATAATTTCCTTCATAGTTCTACTAAAATGATCCTTTAAAATGCTGAATGTGACATTACGCTCAATTTTTAATTGACAAGTTCTGTTGAATTGACTATATATTTCAAAAGATAGACTGTTATAATGGCGATTGACCAACAGTTGATACTGAAATATGTTTAGGATAAAATATAAATAGTCCTAAAATATTAAGACTACCCCAATCTTTTTAGAAAATTGAACAATACAAGTAAATTGCGATGGACATTTGCAGAAATTTCACTGAGCAGTGTGACCTTTTTGTTGTTCATGCAAAATGAATTATATAAATTGAAATATATTATTATATTATAATACATTATGACAACATGGAAACTTATTTTGACTTTCACATGTCCATTCGCTATAGACCCTTGGATGGGCATAATGTCAGTTGAATATGCTGAATTACAATGACCAAAAAGATTACCAATTACGTATAACCAAACTTAACATTTGCTTTGTTGTTGAGGGAGCAATGATATAAAACGTCAAAATGTTCCTTATTTTATTCATTTTTACGGGACAATAGAAAATTGAAAACATGACCATACATGGAGATAACTGCAAAAAAGAGAAAATCAGAATCCATAACGAAAGCCCAACACGACAAAATCTAAAGTGTTGCAGGCTCGGTTTGATTGAGCCTGTTCATGGATGGTACTGTCAAGTGCAAACTACCTCTACGACCCCTAGCACCGGCTGAAACAGAATTCAACAAGTTTTCAACAATTCAAACAAGTTTTAATAACTTAGTTATTTTGTTTTGAATGTTGGAAACTTAAATACCACAATTAAACACCTTACACATATAGGAATACCATTAAAATATTTTAAGTTTAATGCTAGATATGTATTGAAGCGTTTCTCTCTTTTGTGTTATCAGTATAGTTTTGTCACACTATAAAACAAGGTGGCATGATATGACTCTATATATTTTGCAGTGAATTTTCATAATTAAAGCGTGTGCTAAAAGTGTTAAAAATGCTAGACGGTTGCCAAAATATTGTGAGCATAGGTTTAGCGCTCTTAACATTATATTTATTTGTTCGCTGGGCCAACATCTTTGTAAAAAAGAAAAGGTATCCACCAGGACCTTGGGGATTTCCTATAGTTGGACATTTGCCATTGCTGGGAGGTGAATTGGAGAAAACATATTTACAGTGGTGGAAACAGTATGGCGAGGTTGTAAGTTTTCGGTTAGGAAGTTGGAAAGCTGTTATTGTAAATGGATACGATGCGGTGAAAGATGCAGCAGAAAGAAGCGACGATGTTTTCTCGGGAAGACCACCACTTTTATTCAACAAGGCTGTGACCGAGACATTTGGTGGATTAAAATTAATCAGTTTTGAAACATTCAGCCCGAAATTTCTCCATTTAAAGAAGATTGCCAGTAGAGCTTTGAAGAATTACATGCTCAACTGTGATTACCCTCACGAGGATTTATTTAGAGATGAAGCTATTAAATTGTCAAATAAACTCTTCATGCAAGGAAACAAGGAGCCCATGCAACTAGCATCTCATGTTGAACTGGCTGTTGAAAGTATGGTGTATCAAATGTTCTACGGAAAAGGAAAGGAAGAGGAAATAGAAGCAAACGTGCAGGAAGTCGTTGACGCAATGTCATACATAAACAAGTTTTTAAACGCAGATAATTCGGTAAATTTTATGCCCTGGTTGCTTTATCTAAAACAGGGGAAAATCGAAGAGTTTAAACAAGCTATATTGGCAACGGACAAGGTAACTAAGTTGAAAGCAGAGGAACGCATAGCTACTTTTGAGCAAGGTCAAGTAAGAGATATGGTAGATGCATTGTTGGCTTTTTCAAACGAAATGCCTGAAGAAGAAAACGCAGAATCCTTTCCAAGAGCATACCTCATTCATCAAAGAGTAGCTTTTCAAACTGCTATATTCGATCCTGTTTGTCGTACGATTCTTTTTATCATTCTGTATTTGACCAAATATCCAGAGGTACAGGAACGCGTTAACACAGAAGTAAGTGACGTCATTGGGAACGATAAAGCTGTTGGATATAAAGATCGGGACAATCTGCCGTATCTAAATGCTGTTATTCTTGAGGTGATGAGGATAACGAGCCTGGTTCCAACAGCATTACCACACAGTGCCCTTCATGACACGAAGTTTCGCGGATACGACATCGACAAGGATACCATGGTCTTCTTCAACTTGCATTCTGTTTCACACGATAAATTATTTTGGGGCGATCCGGAAAGTTTTCGACCAGAAAGACTTTTAAATGAACAAGGTCATGTCGACAAGGAGAAACGTTTTCGCATTCTGTATTTTGGTGCCGGAAGGCGTAGATGTATGGGTGAAATGATAGCAAAAATCCTTGTTTTCATCACGACTGCAACATTGATGCAACGCTGCTCCTTTAAAAAGGCGGAAGGTTGTGACCTGGACACCGAGCCTATCCGTGGCGCAGTTTATGGTCCAAAACCATTTAAGGTCATCGTTCAAAGCAAATAGATCAAAGGACTATATTTACTATATCTAATAAGGAATTAATTGGGTTTCTTTCAAAGTGGACTAATATCATATTTACACTTACTCACTTTTAAGCACCTAGAACATATAATAGTCATCATGATGATAATAGTGGCGAAGTGATTTCATCACACGTGGGTAAAATTGGACAATTTTCACAGAATATGAACTGTAACGAATGAATTGGTAAAAATCTATAAATTCCGGAAATATTTATGTTAATAAAACAAAAACCGCATTCGAAAGGGTTTTTTATTCCATATGTGGTCATTATATGTACTTAAAATATTTACATATTTAGACGTGACAGATCTGTTTATATTATTCTTACATTATCATTCGTTGTCAAAAATGTTTTTATCTTTCACAATTTTATATTTTTGTGCTTTTCCTTTTTCATTGATGTAAGGAACATCGTATGTTCATTTTCATTAATGAAGATTTCTGTTAAGAGAACGACTTCTCATGTTGATATTCATAAGCATGTTCTTCGTACGATGGTGATAAGGAGTCGATTATACTGTCCAAGCTAGGGATCATTTCTAACAAAAAATGCTATTGTTAGCGCCACCCACCCGAGTTAGTCAGGACAGGTCAACCACTCATCCCTGGAACATGTTTTGACTTCACCTTGACCTGCTATATGTCTTCCCGCGACGTTCAAACCTCTAGAGGGATTTCGGATTTGGAGAAGTCAAAATCGATGTGATAAATGTGGAGCATTACAAATAAATATATACTGAGGATTGTGTAAGATCTTCTATAGTATGACAATGGGCATTGCAAAACATTCATTTGGAGAGGATGATTGTGTAAAATATGCAGGTAAAACCAAGTTAAAGTCAATTGAGCTAGAACTAGTTAATTGCATTTTTTAATTTATCTATCGCGCAGGCACTTGGTTGTGGAGCTTCAAACACCTTAAAACCAAATCAATTGCATATTTACATCACACAAACTTATCGTATATTATATATCAATAAACCTAATACATTAATTTTGTATACACTGTTTTGGGAGAAAAAACAACAACCTGATACTTTAACGTCCTAGATTCTATACTTATAAACGTTGAAATATGAGTTTGTTTCTAACACATCGTAACCTGTAATCCGGTTTATTCGTTGTCGCATTACGGTTACCCATTCATGTGAATCTTTATGAATAACGTTAGCTATTTCATTTTTTTCGATAAGATACAGTGGTTGCCATGTTCCAAACGCGGTCCAGATTCTTCTACATGTTGGATGCGGAAGATATGGCTGTGATCTTGGGTCTGAAGGATTAAACCGAAATACAATTATAGAAGTTTACTTGTGAAGCTGCGGATCGAACTTCTTATGCCTGCGAAAAATAAAACTGCAGAACTTATTTAAGCCTTAAAGTTGCTAATGAGATATCTCCATTAGAAGTGCCCCGGATGTTTACTGAAGATTAGAAGTGATTTTTTATATAAATAGATAATCATCAAGCTATCAGCCGCCCCCCCCCCCCCTCCAAAAAAAAACCCCAAACATTTTCCGAATAGCTATGTTGAATAGCCTTTTAAGTATGTGAATTGTCTATATATGTGAGTATTTTCAGTTTTAATCTCCCAAGTACGATTCTGTTTATCATGTTAGTTCAGAGCTTAAAATTGAAAATAGAATGTATTGAGTGAGCTTCGATAACTACATCGCGTATATCCAGTAAAACAGGAATGTGCAAATAAGCATGCATTGTGCAAAGGTTACGTAGAATTGTGCTATTCTGTGTATATGTCCATATGTAATTGTGGCATTACGCTCAGGGCAACTCTTGACATCACGTCCACTTTATCAGAAAGGAGGCGATATTTTTAAAGCTAAACTCAAATTTCTCTTTGATGAATGATGAGTGTTCCAGTCTCTGCACACAGGGTCGTACTGAGGAACGTAGCTTGGTTCAATTTTTATGTGGAGGCTGTATTGTAGGTGATGTCAATTCATCATTCATTTCTAATGTCCCTCATAGCCTATAATGAGAGATATGTACATGAATATATAATGCCGGCATGGGAGAGGTTATTTATATTTGTCGTAACCGATTAATGAATCGTGTGAAATGTGCAATCATTTAAAACTTATATCAATGAATAACACATTTTCATTCACTTTCTTCGTTCCTGTACATTAAATAATTGTTTACTTTGACTATGAAACGGGCTATGATTACTGTCCAGACAATCATGACAATGTAACATTGGAATAGACCATATTACCGTATGAACTCGTCTGACTGGAAGGGAGCACGATATATTTACAGAAAACTAAGAAATACCAAATTCAAGCAAGAATAACATTTATATGATAGTTCAGATAATTATGAAGAATATATGGTATTATGAAGAATAACATTTGGAAATTTGTTACTGAACTTCGCTGATCACATGCCGTCTGCTAGGTGAAGTGAATCTCATCAAGAATCCACCATAAGATGATAGATACAACATAATTTTACCGTTTACAGAGTATGTAAAAAATATTCCATAAAATTAGCTTTATACCCTTTAACAGAATGTAGAAATTGATGGTGATTGATCAAACTGCTTCAATACTAATCAAACTTGGCTCAAATGTTGACTGGACCATTGCCTTTGTAACAACATGGCCAAAATTTGCTTGGCTATCAGGGGGGGGGGGGGCTATCACCCCCTCCAGGTACGTATATTAACCTAATAGCTGCTAACATATATACCTGCCCCCTCCAAACCCCCAAATAGAAGGGAGCACATCTACTGTCTGGCAACTCCTAATGTATCTTTTGGATAGGTGGCGGTGTCGAAAAAGTGGTCACTTTTTAAAGCAATATTTCATAAACAATAACAAGTGTTGGGCCTTAATAAGACATTTTCCCCCCATATGTGACAGCAAAGGGGGGGGGGGGTGTGAAATGGCGTTTAAAGGGGGTTAAATACGGAATTTATTATAATTTAAATTATAATCGATAAATGTGATTCGATTGTAGTACATAATTGGCAAATTATTTCATTTATCTTAACTTTATGATTATTCATTTATAATCAAATAATTTAGTTTGTTAATATTTCAGTAGAAATAAGGTTTTAGCTTCATTAATGGACACTCCTATAGGGAAACATAAAACATGCCACTTAAATTAAATTTATAATGACATTTGAGTTGCATTTAGGCGTGTTTAATATGCATGTGGATATATGTGACAATATAGTATGTCTTTATGTATATTTCCCTCTTGTAAAATTATGAAAGAACTGTATAATTTAGTGGTGTACAGTCTAAAACAAATTGCATAAATTGCATATAGGTTGAAAATATTATGACGCCGGTTTTATTTGATCATGTGACCAATCCAAGATGTCTACATCAACCTCATTCCAGAACAAAGTGAATGAATTAGAAAGGCGATTAAAAGCGGAAAATAAGTCCAGAGAGAGGGACAGAGTGCGCCCAACATGTGATCAAGTACCTAGGCGTACATTACCGCGTATGTCATTCTAAAATATACAAAAACGTATTTACATTTTTCTATGAAAATTTGGAACTGAAAACCAGAAGAAAAAAAAAAACAATATGAACAAACCAATTTAACAATGTTACATGCAATTTTACCTTTTGACATTGAGATATTTTTATCAAAATATGTTTCTGTTGTTAGTGAAAAAAAGATTATACGTCCATCAAGTTCAATGAAGTTTTAGAAATACATCTATTGGAAATTTGTAACCTCAAAAATTAAAAGTTCAGTGTTATTGTGGTAGCTATTTAGCACAGGCTCCTGGTGGGAGATGGGTTTGGACGGGTCAGACCAACTCCTCCAGCTTGAACCACCCCTATAATCAGTGAATAAAAACCTTTAAACTTTTTAACATGAAATGTCAAAATTAATGTGGCATCTGTCTTTATCATTTTAATTTGACTAATTTTTGTTTTTTGAGCGAGCTCGACAAGCTTGCCCGAAGGGCCTGCTCGCAAAGCGAGCTTTACGGTAACGCGAGTACCTGCTAAGTGATGGTTTTGAATACTTTCGTCCCAAGTACCGAATTTGACACATCGCAACCTTTCGAATTTAAAGATAACGATAAACACTGAAGAATTCTGACTGAAAACTGATGTGTAGACTGGTCATCCGCCTATGTCTATGGGAACCATAATTGGACAGGGAACCAGAATAACGGAAGCTGTGTATAAAATATCGAATGATAAAATGAAAATTGAAGGCGCCATTTTGTTTGAAAAATCTGATAAATAAAAACAATTTTTTGTCGAATTTTGTTGTGAAAATTATCTAGAATGAAAGAAAATGGTCTAACTAAGAAAATGAATCCAAACACCAATATCTTTTATTCAATCGTTAACGCTGTACAGACGTTTAAAGTATTGTTTACGTGACGTCACAATGTAGCGCCAAACAGCACGTGCGAAACAAGTACGCTATTTTAATGTCGCAAACGTTTTAAGTTTAACATTTATTTCACTTTAAATTATCTTTATTTCGCTTGAAAAATTATAGAGTGAAATAAAATAAACAAAGTTTTATCAGCGTTTTAAAACTCATTATTCATTTAACGACAGGGGCGGAGCCATATTTTACACAGTACGTGTAACGTCATACGCAATTGTCACTGCATTTGAATTAAATATGAGCGATTATTTCATACTATTTCACGTATGAGCTAGCTTTGAGGCTTTGCCTTTTTCATATTAACTATTTCCACAAAAATAAAAAATCCCATTTATTTTACCATCAGGTATCAAAAAACATAAAGATTGCAGACTGTAATATAAAATTAGGCATAGCCTATGAACGGGGAAGTCGATTAAAGTAATCTTTCATTTTTATTTTACATTTTTCGTTTTAAAAATGCCATTTGGTATTCTATACACTGCTTCCATTTATTCTGGTTCCCTGTCCTAATAAGATCCCCAATAGTAGTCCGCAGGGGACCAGTCTACACATCTGTTTTCAATAAGAATTTCTCGGCTTTTATCGTATATAGTAAGTTGCTATTGGCCATTATCGGAATACACCGCCATTTATCATTGTGTTACGGCGCCCAACAAGAAATGGTACTGAAAATTTCGCTGATAGATCTATATAGAAATCTATATTTTTTTCTTTTTAAATATACACATAATCATGTAGTCTATAGCCAGGCAAGCCAAAGCTTTGACTTCCCCGTATAAAAGCATTTTTAAGTGAATTATAAAGTATTTATTAAAATTTCTTCTTAAGTAACTGATTTGGGATCAAGATCAAGTTCAGCACCATCGTCAGGTCGAAGACGTCCAGGTGGCCTTGATTGTCAGCCACGTACCTCACACCTTCCAAGACAGCCAGATAGGTAACTAGAAATATTATGTTTAAAAAGATTAAGAAATCTGAGCTTTTTTACCTTGTACACATTTTAATTTAAGTACTAAGTAGGTTATTTAGTGGTTAACGCCTGTGCATTTCTTTGTCTCCAATTCTTTACCTATACTCTGCCTCAATTTTCTGAGTATATTTTTTTTGTTTTAATTTTTATGTTTAAAATTCAGCAATTTTTTTCCTCGTGTAAGTGGCACTGAATAACATACACATTCACAATCACAATCTGTCTTACAATTTTTACAATTCTGAGAAAATTAACAGTCTACATTTATTTAAAGCTTACAATTTCGTCCTTTTTCCTGATTTATTCTTATAACAGTGATTAATATCTCAATTTGCCATTATGTTATTGTATTGATTAAAATTCAAATGTTAAATTCCTGCTGATATTCAAACTGAAAGTTGAATTGCTTTAAGTTTGATTCACATTTTAATTATGCCCCCACTTGAAGAAGAGGGGGTATATTTCTTTGCACTTGTCGGTCTGTCCGTCCGTCGGTCCGTAGACCAAATGGTTTCCGAGTGATAACTAAAGAACCCTTAGGCCTAGGAACTTCAAACTTGATATGGTGATTGGTCATGATCAGTAGATGACCCCTATTGATTTTGGGGTCAAGGGGTCAAAGGTCAAGGTCACATTGACCTTGTAACCAAAAACGGTTTCCGATCAATAACTAAAGAACCCTTAGGCCTAGGAACTTCAAACTTGGTATGGTGATTGGTCATGATCAGTAGATGACCCCTATTGATTTTGGGGTCAAGGGGTCAAAGGTCAAGGTCACATTGACCTTGTAACCAAAAACGGTTTCCGATCAATAACTAAAGAACCCTTAGGCCTAGGAACTTCAAACTTGGTATGGTGATTGGTCATGATCAGTAAATGACCCCTATTGATTTTTGGGTCAAGGGGTCAAAGGTCAAGGTCACATTGACCTTGTAAGCAAAAACGGTTTCCGATCAATAACTAAAGAACCCTTAGGCCTAGGAACTTCAAATTTGGTATGGTGATTGGTCATGATCAGTAGATGACCCCTATTGATTTTGGGGTCAAGGAGTCAAAGGTCAAGGTCACATTGACCTTGTAAGCAAAAACGGTTTTCGATCAATAACTATAGAACCCTTAGGCCTAGGAACTTCAAACTTGGTATGGTGATTGGTCATGATCAGTAGATGACCCCTATTGATTTAGGGGTCAAAGGTCAAGGTCAAATTGACCCTTTAAGCAAAAAGGGTTTGCGATCAATAACTAAAGAACCCTTAGGCCTAGGAACTTCAAACTTGGTATGATGATTGGTCATGATCAGTAGATGAACCCCTATTGATTTTGGGGTCAAGGGATCAAAGGTCAAGGTCACATTGACCTTGTAAGCAAAAACGGTTTCCGATCAATAACTAAAGAACCTTAGGCCTAGGAACTTCAGACTTGGTATGGTGATTGGTCATGATCAGTAGATGACCCCTATTGATTTTTGGGGTCAAGGGGTCAAAGGTAAAGGTCACATTGACCTTGTAGGTAAAAACGATTTCCGATCAATAACTTAAAGAACCTTAGGGCGTAGGAATTCAAACTTGGTATGGTGATTGGTCATGACCAGCAAATGACCACTATTGATTTTGGGGTCAAGGGGTCAAAGGTCAAGGTCACATGACCCTGTAGGTAAAAACGGTTTCCGATCAATTAACTAAAAACGCTTAGGCCTAGGAACTTCAAACTTTGTATGATGATTGGTCGTGACCAGCAGATGACCCCTATTGAGTTTTGGGTTAAGGGTTCAAAGGTCAAGGTCACATTGACCTTGTAAGTAAAAACAGTTTCTGATCAATAACTAAAGAATGCTTAGGCCTAGGAACTTCAAACTTGGTAAGGTGATTGGTCATGACCAGCAGATGACCCCTATTGATTTTTGGTCAAGGGGTCAAAGGTCAAGGTCACATTGACCTTGTAGGTAAAAACGGTTTCCGATCAATAACTAGAGAACCCTTAGGCCTAGGAACTTCAAACTTGGTATGATGATTGGTCATGACCAGCAGATGACTCATATTGATTTTGGGGTCAAGGGGTCAAAGGTCAAGGTCACATTGACCTTGTAGGAAAAAACGGTTTCCAATCAATAACTAAAGAACGCTTAGGCCTAGAAACTTCATACTTGGTATGATGATTGGTCATTGCCAGCAGATGACCTATTGATTTTGGGGTCAAGGGGTCAACAACTTGGCTGTCATTAATGAGGCCTACATGATTCATAAAATTTATGCATATATTATTTGGTAAGATTTGTAATAACTTAAATTGCTGCTGCGCACACAACCTATAGGGTCACAATAATTATTACCTTGTGACTAGTCATGACCAGTAGATACTAGATAACCCTTATTAATTGTTTGTTCACTGGGTCAGAAGTCAAGCATAATAACCTGATCACATGACTTATTGACTTTTGACAGGGGGCATACATGTTATACAAACATATCTTGTTACATTTTATTTTGGTAAATGCTCAAAAGAGCAAAAACAGGGCTCACGCTGTCGGTCGCCATAGTCGCCATTTGCGATTATTTTATAAGATTGGCGATTATTTTTGCATTTTGGCTACAAAATCTGGCGATTATTTTTTACTTCCAACAGTGATTATATAAGGTGTAAAAATCGATAATGAATGCAGTAGACCCAATTAACACCAGCGGTGCATTTAATTGAGTGTCAACTTTTTACCGGTCACGTGCTGCTACTATATTGCCCGAGGTGATAAAATACATGAGAGATGTATAATTGTATAAGTACTTTAAAGATATTGTCCAGCATTTATTATAGCCATCAAATATCCGTCAATTAGCCACAAAAATCGTTTTAAAATTGATAAACTGGATATTGACTTACCCAAAATTTACCGTGAATTGCAGTAATTGCAAATTTTGATTTTTTTTTGTTTTAAGCTACTTAACTAAATCGCCAGTGGAAAACAATGGTAAAATATTTAAAAAGTATAAACTTCCAAACAACTATTTGCACAACAACCAAAATTGTGAATATTTCTTCAGAAAACAGGAAAAAATCTGATTGTCACATATTTTCGCGACACCGATAATTTTGATATTTATTTAAAGGTGAAATAAGCTATGTTCTGTTTAAAAATCTTTACTACTATGGCAGAAAATTTGTATAACATTGGTGATGATGATATTTTTCAGTAAATTATTCAGAAAAAGGCTGCATTCTGTGAATGAGTTTGCAAACTTGTGTTATTTCTATAGGCTAATATGACCTAAATCTACTCCAGTTCTGTGTGAAATGTGGAAATTGACAGTGGTTATAGCTGACAAAATTTGATTAGAACAAACAAAAAAAGTTGTCTGATAACAGCATTATGTAAAGTTATAATGAATCTGTAATATAATTGTTGTACAGTAATTATACTAATTATAATGTTTTTATTTTGTTCTACGTGTATAATAACAATTAAAGTTGTGGTTCTATTTAAAAAAAGGTAGTTATCAATATACACAAATGTGTCAGTTTATTTGAAAATCCTTACAAAACTGAAAAAGTTTTATATGTAATGTTTATTTAATCAACTGCTTATGTTGTTAATCGCTAATTCGTGAATAGTCAGCTGAACTTTTGGCTATTATTATTTGAAGTTGAAAATATTGGCTATTATTTTATTTGAGCCAGTGTGAGCCCTGCTCAAAAGAGCAAAAATATATGCTAAACCAGTTCTTTCAATTTTACAAAACCCTAGCTGATTTGTGTGCAGTATTTTTGATAATTATACAATTTGGGCCATCCTTAAAAAAATGTTTGTTTGCAGTAACGCGACCGACTCATAAAATTTGCCCCCACTCAAAAGTTTTTTTCATGGTCTGGGTAAAAAAATATTTTTTTTGAATCAGAAAATTATGCCTTGTGCTTTGTTTTTGTTCTTTTAAAGGTTAATAGAAGAAATAAAATGTAGGTATTATTTAATTAGAATTCATTTATCAATTTATTAATTGTTACCAGATTATCAAAGCATAAATTGTCCAGCATTTTGAAATTCCATGTTTATTTGGGAGTTCAATAAAAAAAAAAAAAAAAAAAAAAAAAAAAAAATTGACCTACCTACCCACCTTGAAAATTCTGGGTCGGGTTACTGCAAACAAACATTTTTTTAAGGATGGCCTTGTGAACAAAGATTTTTTGAATGGATTTAAATTTGTCTTACAGTCATATGGTTACCAAATACAGAAAGACATTTGTCATCAAACTGGTCAAGTTTTTAGAACGTGTTCTAATCAAGTTGTACATTGCATTACAATGCAAACAAATCTGATATAAAATACAAGGTTTACATGATAATTATATGGTAACAGAAGAAAAATATGTAAATATAAAAGGAATGAGTTTACTTTTAAACAGTATGTCATTGGTTTGTTTTTTCAGTCATGAGATAGAACAAAAGTACACTGAGATTATGAAACAGACTGGTATTCTGACATTAAATGGTCAGGTAAGTTGTTAAAACCCGAGTGTCAAAACTTAAACCGATCTTCTACTTTTTATACTTTTGAATGAATATATCTATGGTTTACTCAGGTGCTTATTTTTGTCTTAGTTAAAATGTTAAAAAAGGGCTCCTTCAAGTTCAAATATGCCTCTATCAAAGAAGTTGTGAAGTCATTTTATACCAGATCCTGTTTTTTTTTTGGTTCATAGTAATACACACATAGTGCTGAGGCATTATTATGCTCCCCGAAAAATTTCGGGGAAGCATATAGTCGGCGCCTTGTCCGTCTGTCTGTCCGTCTGTCCGTCCGTTGTCTTGTCCGGAGCATAACTTGAAAACCCCTGGAGATAATTTGTTGAAACTTCATACAGTGGTAGAGGGCATCGAGGGGGAGTGCAGTGTCAAAGAACCATAACTTTTTTTTGCCCTGTTTTTGAATTATCTCCCCTTATAGAAAAATCTTGTCCGGGGCATAACTCTAAAAGTATAAGAGATATCAACATGAAACTTTGTAGGTGAATAGATCTCAATGGGTTGATGTGCAGTGCATAAGAACAATAACTCTTTTTGTCCTAATTTTGGAGTTATTGCCCTTTGTTAATTTTAATACTTTGAACTTTGTCCGGAACATAACTTGAAAACCCTTGGAGAAAATTTGTTGAAACTTCATACAGTGGTAGAGGGCATTGAGGGGGAGTGCAGTGTCAAAGAACCATAACACTCTATTTTGCCTGGTTTTTGAATTATCTCCCCTTATGAAAAATCTTGTCCGGGCATAACTCACTAAAAAGCTATATGGCATAGAGATATTCAACATGAAACTTTGTAGGTGAATAGATCTCAATGCGTAGATGTGCAGTGCATAAGAACAATAACTCTTTTGTCCTAATTTTGGAGTTATTGGTTGCCCTCTTTGTTAATTTTAATACTTTGAGAACTTGAACTTTGTCCGGAGCATAACTTGTAAAACCCTTGGAGATAATTTGTTGAAACTTCATACAGTGGTAGAGGGTATCGAGGGGGGAGTGCAGTGTCAAAGAAAACCATAACTCTATTTTGGGCCTGGTTTTTGAATTATCTCCGCCTTATAGAAAAAATCTTGTCCGGGAGATAACTCTAAAACTATAAGAGATATTTTCAACATGAAAACATTGTAGGTAGATAGATCTCATTGAGTAGAGGTGCAGTGCAAAGAACCATAACTCTGTTAAGCCTTATTTTTGAATAATCTCAACCCTTTTAGAAAAATCTTGTCCAGGGACAAGCTGTAAAACTATAAGAGATTATCAACATGAAACTTTGTAGGTAGATAAATCTCAATGGGTAGATGTGCAGTGCACAAGAATCATAACTCTACCTTGTCTAATTCTGGAGTTATTGCTCTTTGTTTTTTTTTACTTTTTGAATTGTCTCCAGGACATAAACTACGGAAATCATAAGAGATATCATCAAGAAAACTTTGTAGGTTGATAGATTAATTAGAAGTGCAGTTGCAAAGAACTGTAAAACTCTGCCTTGCCTAATTTTGGAATTATTGCACTTTGAACTTTTTTTCCACAGACATAAACTCTGAAAACTACAAGAGGTGTACTTTCTGTGTCCAAAACCTATTCGGGGAGCATCACCCGGCTCAAACCGGGCTCTTGTTCATTTAATTTCAATATTGAGGTAATAGGTTAGCTGTATTTAAATATAATTATTAACCGTTACTACACTGTATATATCTTAAAGGATTTGACCATGTTTCTGCTTTGAGTGATCCATTTATCATTTAGTGTTTTTTTTTTTAAGGAAAATTTCAAATTATTTGTACTGACTTTATAGAAAACAATGCAGACCATGATCAGATACCACAGGTTTGCAAGCTGATCTCAATTTAAACTAGTCAAATAGGTAAATTTGTTGCCACCAGCAACCTAAGAGTTAAAAATAGATACATTCGTTTCCATTTTTAGAAAGTTCCTACAGATATATTCGATTTTGAACCTCTTGCGTGAACAGGACCATGGTACTTTTAGCGTGGACAAGGTGTCAGATTGAGGCAACAAAAAAGCAGGGGTGAATGTGGATGTAAAAAAGGTTAAAAATTACCAAATTATCAATTACGAAAAAAGGTATTTAATATTAATCTTAAACAAGGAACTTGTTTTCCAGAACGACTTGCTTTAAGGGGTTTGAGTGGCACTTCAAATTGCTAAGTCAAACCCAATAACTCAAAGAAAAGTAGATAAGGGCCCTCAGTCCTTTCTTCCTTGAAAACAGATAAATAGTTACCACGAGGACTAGTAAGGGGGAACTTGTTGCATTGGTTTACTTGAAAGCTTTATTTCTTACTTCCCTTTCAGCAATGTAATCCCATATGTATTTGGAAAAAGTCTTATTTAGTTTAATAATTGTCCGAAGTAAAAACACCCCTTTTTGTCATTCAAAGTATTTTATGTTAAACATCAAGGTATTAAAGTGCCTTTGTATCTGAGGTCTGAACTGAAATATATTCCTTGACAATTCAGGGTTTTTTCTAAAAAAAAAGAAAAAGGCTGAAATTGGGAAAAATTATATGGCATTTTGAAAATTTAAAGACGTGACAGTTTAAAAAGTTCACAGTCTACCTTTTACTTTTAAGTTTTATTCATTTGATGTGTTCATGATTAACTTCTTTTTTAAAACAAGTCAAAACTTTTCAAATTTTTCTCAGTGCAACAATTTTTCTGGCTGCTGTAGGGAAAATTTTATGATATTTGGGATAGAAAGAAGTTGCATAGGCCCCCCAGTAGTATTCCGGTTGTGTGCAAGCATTGATTTTTCATAATATAAATCTGTGAAGAAAATAACTTAATTATAATCTACAAATTATATTGCTGTATAAATAATTGATGTTCTATTTTTTCTTCCTAGCAAATGAGAAGATCTGGTAATAAAGAGGAGAATAAAAGAATAATAATGGATCTGGATGTTGTGTTAAAATCTCATGATTGTCCGTATATAGTACAATGTATAGGAACGTTCATAACTCCTGTAAGTTTTTACGTTTTTGATTGTTATCCTTTGACCTCCTGAATTTGTGTAATGGATTAACCCTGCTTTTGAATTTAGAACAGTCCATTTTGAACCATAGGTTAAGAGGATTTCAATGTCAAAACAACAAACTTATGCTACCAACAGTATAGAGCCTGGTCAGACTGCACAGATATGCAAGCCGCCCTGGCTCTATACTGGTGGCAAAGGCCAAGTACACATGGACTTACAGTTCCAGCGGCAAATTAAGGATGAATTACTCTAAATTATTCTGGTGTGTATGCAATTATGTGAGGTTTCATTTGCTATTTAGATATGGATAGAAATGTAGCCTTTTAAATTGTTGATATTAATTCCCCATCATTTGTATTCTAATTTCTTAGATGATCTCTACCTTGGTAAAATAGCATGGATAGGGATTTAGTTAGGGTTGACAGGTACAATTAACTTTATACATTTTAGATAATAAGCAATTTCAGGCATTGAAAAATATTTTCAGAGTCACCCTGCTGGACAAGTAGCTTCTAAATGCAATGTTCAGGCAACATTTCTCGGTTCGTCCTGCATCAAATTCTCTTAAATTCTACTCGTAATTACTAGCAGACAAGTGGATTTTTCTATCTCTGAATGTACTGTTGTAATAGATATTGGACCATAGCAATGGATAAGATCTTGAGTATTTCAGGTTATAATAAACAATGTACTTAATGTACATGATAAATTTTAAGTTTTGTCAATAAATTTTTGTTGTTGTTTTTTTTTAATTAAATATATTATTCTGTTTTTTATAAGTTTGCCAGTAATAATGATGATTTTTTTCTTGTTGCAGAGTGAAGTATGGATATGTATGGAGTTAATGTCTACGTGTTTAGATAAATTATTGAAAAAAACTCGAAGACCCATTCCAGAAAAAATTCTTGGCAAGATGGCTGTAGCCGTAAGTGTTTCCCGTAATTGTTTCATCCCAGTTTTTTATACAAAGTTTTTTTTTAAATTTTCATTTTTAGCTCGACTTTTCTAAAAGAATAAGTAGAGCTATACTAGTCAGCTGAGCGTCGGGGTCGGCATAACCACTTACGTTAAAGTTTTTGACATTTGGCTTTGAAACTTTGCACACTTGTTCACCATTATTAACCCAACCTGTAGACAGGAGGAGGTATTTCTAATCGAATTTTGACAGAATAATGCCCCTTTTTCAACTTATAATTTATGTTAAAGTTTGCATACCACCTCGGGTATTTTCATAATTCATTGACATGGTTTAAACAAGTTGAAATTTTATACACTTCTTTGTGAGCATATTAGGACTCTCTCCAAGGCCTATAACATGGATTTGTAAAAAAAAATTAGCCATTTTGTGAACTTAAAAACTTTTACATTATCAAGGCTCCTTTACTATCAAGCTCTTAGAATAGTCGAGCGTGCTTTCCTACCGACAGCTCATGTTATGTATTGCAAAATAGAAGTATAAAAGCAACCAGATTATCAATCAATCCATCCTATTTCACTCCATCCTATCCACTTTATCACATTTACATATCATTTTTTATATGGCCTTCAGATATCTTAGATATTTGGTATGAAGATACATTGCATGGACCACTTCTTATACATGTGCATGTGTAGGTTTTAAGGTTGATTGATATACATAGCTGTAGATAAATAAAGATTTTGTTATATTCCTAGATACATAAAGCATTCTTGTATTGACAAATATGATACATGTACATTTTAACAGTTATATACTTTAATGAAAATTTACTTTAATGAGATCTTACCCTTAATTTTGTTCAAATTTGAAATGATTTGAAGGCCTTAAGAGTCATATTGTATGTTATTAAGGCTAAAAGGACTAAGAAAGGGGAAGGAACATTTCTTACATTGAAATAAACTTAAGTTGTTGTTGATACATTCCAGATGGTCAAGGCACTACATTACCTCAAAGAAAATCACGGTGTTATTCACAGAGGTAAGAAAGTTTGAATAAATAGTTGAAGTTTTAAGTAACTTTTTCATAATACAAGTAATTTAACTACTACCCTGTTGAAATTTTCTAAAATGGTCTTTACCATTATCAATTTAGAGGAAATGTAAATGCCAAAAGTAAAGAACCTTGTCAGACTGCATGGATAAGCCAATTGGCATGGCTTTATACCGATGTCAAAGGCAAATCACCTTTGGTGCCAGCAGGAATCTAAGAAATTTATAAAAATAACCTTCAAAATGGTGAAAAGGGGAGGTAATTATCTTATTCTAATACTGGAGGCAAAGGCCAATCACTTTTTGGTGGTAGCTTAGAAAAAGAATTATCCTCAAAATGGTGACAAGGGGAGGTAATTATCTAAATAAATGTTAAATACATGTTATGTGAATAGCCTCTTTCTTTTTCTTTGAGCTTGTGACTTTGTAAATGAAGGAAAATAATAAGTGAGATAAGTAAGAATCTATTCTTCTATTGTATTTCAGATGTAAAACCTTCAAATATTCTATTAGACGAGAAAGGAACAGTTAAATTATGTGATTTTGGTATATCAGGAAGATTGGTGGATTCTAAAGCAAAAACTAGAAGTGCAGGCTGTGCCGCGTATATGGCAGTAAGTATAGCTTAAAACTTTATTGACTTTTGAAGGGGGTTAGAATATATATATATTCAAGTTTTTGTTTATTCATGGACATTTTGCAATTTTTTTGGCAAAATATACCTGAATTTTATGTCACTGACACCAGTTTTCTACGGCTTTTATAATATAATGAATTAGACCTTTTACTACTTTCAATAAATGAAAAAGACCCCCCCCCCCTCTCCCCAGCCCCCTCAAACACAGACACACACACACACACACACTAAAAAAAGATCCAGTTATGATATTTAATGAGTTTTGCTATTCATCTTCCAAAACTGACTCAATTTTATTGTATCGCCTTGAAAAGGCTACATAAAGGGGTTAATTTTGTTGGCTGTGTCGTTGTCAGCGTCAGTTTCAGCTTACAGAAAATTGTAGCGCACTGTCGTACCAACAGTTCTTGTTGCTCTTTGATACCAAATCAATTTACATCGGACAGTTCCAAATTTAAGTAATGCAATTCAAGCAGGTGTGAGGATTTAGGTTAAATACATTATACATGTATATAATTATTTGAAACTTGTTTAAGATTTTCCATATTTTAAAGTAAACTATTTTTATATCAACAGCCAGAAAGAATAGACCCACCAGATCCCACCCGACCCGATTACGATATCAGGGCTGATGTATGGAGCTTAGGAATATCTCTAGTAAGTTTTGGTTCTCTTAAAACTAGTTTTTCTTAGCAAGCAACTCACTTAGTAGCTCACTTGTACATTATACAAATTCTTAGCAATTTTCTTTGATGTACAGAGACTAAGATCTTGCACTAAAATCACAGTTGTTTTACTTGATGCACAAATTAATTTTTATACCTAACAATACTTAATTTACCTGTTGTTAATATGGATATTAGTGATGGACATATGAGCCACACCATGACAAAACCAACATAGTGCGTTTGCGACCAGCATGGATCCAGACCAGCCTGCGCATCCACGCAGTCTGATCAGGATCCATGCTGTTCGATATCAGTTTCTCTACTTGTAATAGAGTTTGTAAGCAAACAGCATGGATCCTGATAAGACTGCGCGGATGTGCAGGCTGGTCTGGATCCATGCTGGTAGCAAACGCACTATGTTGTTTTTGTCATGGCGCGGCTCATATATAATTGCTGTTCTGAGCAAGTGTTTTAATACAGTCAAGAAATTAGGAATTTTCTTTTATTCAGTAAAATTGTTAATAGATGGAAATTTCTCTTTTCTCCAGGTTGAATTGGCAACAGGGGAGTTTCCGTACAAAAATTGTAAAACCGATTTTGAAGTTTTAACAAAAGTTTTACAAGAAGACCCGCCATTGTTACCTTCTGGTCAACATTTCTCCATGGACTTTTGCTCATTTGTCAAGGACTGGTACGTATACAAAACAACATTAACCCTTAATTTCTATAATGGATCTGTCCTGCTTTGAATTTGGAACAGTCCATTCAAAGTTCGAGGGATTTCAATATATCTAAATACAAAAATTAAGCTGCCAACAGTATAGAGCCTGGTCAGATTGTTCTGGCTCTATACTGGTGGCAAATGCTGCCAGCAGATTAAGGGTTCATGTATATTGTAAATGTTATTAACCACAATCTATTATGACAAGCAGGACCTTCCATGGTTAGGTTTGCTGACCACAAATAAGTGGTTGGGGAACATAAAATAAACAAAGTTTACCATTTGAACAAAAAAAATTTCTTACATCTTTTCTTAACCTTCTACATTTTGTTATTGTTTAATTGTTCAGGATTGATTTTTTATATCCGGTTATGAAATTTGTCATCTTTCATCACTAACAAGAGGTTGAGTGCCATATGTAAGTGTCCTTTACCTGGCTATGTAGCTATTCCAAATATTACTGACTTAAACAAAAAACTCTAGATATTAAAACTTGTAAAAAAAAGTATATTTCTCAAGTCAAGCACTCAAGAAGTTTCCATAAAGATATACATGTACAAATTTTCTTGTTTATATTTTAGCCTCACTAAAGATTACAGACGAAGACCAAAGTATAGGAAATTAATAGTGAGTTATACTGTTACATACATAATTAAAAATAAACACATAATTGAAGAAGAAAAAAATATGATTCATAGACATTTCATTAAATTGAAACAAATAAATCTTACTGTTAGTCTTGTAGAATATGCAGTTTAAAGTGACATTATGCTTATTTTTTCACTGTCAAGTTGAGTTTAATTAGAAAGATATTTTAATATTTTAGCTACTGTAATGGTAATTGACCAATAATTAGTCCTCTACCGGTGTACCGGAGGGGATTTTAGGTTAACCGTCCTTCCGTCAGTCCATCCGTCCGTCTGATATATGGATAGATGGCAGAATGGAGATTATGCACGTCTTTTTTTTTTTCTTCCTATGTTGAAAATTCTGGTTGCTATCTGAAAATATGGCAAATTTTACACATAAACTGGATCCAGTGATAACGCAAAAAGTACTGGAATTTATTTTTATGAAACTTGAAATATGGGTAGATGGCAGTCTGGAAATTATGCACATCTTTTTCTTTTCGTCCTATGTTGAAAGTTCTGGTTGCTATGACAACAAATAGACTGAAACAATGGCAAATTTGACACATAAACTTGATCTAGTGAGACTGCAGAAAGTACTGAAAATATTTTTATGAAACTTGAAATATGGGTAGATGGCAGTATGGAGATTATGCATGTCTTTTTCTTTTCTTCCTATTTTGAAAACAAAATGGTTGCCATGGCAACAAATAGGCTTAAAACATGGCAAATAAAACAATTTTTGTAATTAGTAAAAAAATGATGAAAATTTTCAGACTTGAAATATGGATAGATGGCAGTATGGAAATTATACACATCATTTTAATCTTGACTATACTAGGGAGTATATTGAAAGCTGTCATACTTAACAAACGTTAGCAACCTCGTCAAGATTTCTGATTCTAGTTTTTAGGCTTTTTCACTATAGTTCTTTATTTCTTAAGGTATTTATTTCAAACTTCAAACATAAGTTTCTGGTCATCAACCACATCAAATGTGACAAGGTTTCAACTCTAGCACAAAAATTATCAGAATTGCCTCCCTTGAACTTACATGAAAAAAATGTTGTTTTGTAATAACTTCTTTATTTCTTAATGTATCTTCTTCAAACTTCATATATATGTTTCTTATTATCACTCAAATCATTTGTGAGAAGGTTCAATACTCTAGCAAGACTATTTCCAGAATTATGTCCCCCTTGAACTTAGATTTATTTCAAGAAATTGGTATATTTTACTCCAACTTCTTCATTACTTCATTTACTTCAAACTCCCACATCATAATAATATGACAAGGTTTATAAAACTAGCATCCTTATTTCCAGAATTATCTCATCCTTTAACTTTGAATTTTTCTTATTCATTCTTTAAACTTTTACTTCAAATTCAAAATAAACATTCATTATAAACAGCTTCATTACTAATTGTTCTTTGTTACACTCACATCATGTATGACATCTTGGATCTTTATTTCAAGAGTTAAACTTATCTCCTCTTTATGAATTTGCTTTTAAAAATGTTATATTTTGGTAACAGGGATGTTTAAAAAATTAACTTTAGAGTGTCCTTCAGTCTGTCTGTTCATAAAAACTGTTTCCTTTGATCACTTTTAAAGAAGTTTTCCAACAAATTTTCTTAAAAAAGAGAAAAATTGAAACATTGAAACATTAATGTTGCTGGGGTTCTAACCGGTAGGGGACTTATGGACTGCTTGCAATACTATGATAATTGCTTGTTGATAATGGAAAATGTGTATGATACAAAGAATTTAGCATTACAGGTACATTTGTAACGATAAAACAATATCTATAAAAAATCTGTTTGCCACTGAATATGTTTTCATAGAAAAATACATAATTGAACACAATTAAGGCAAAATGTCACTTGTATGAACATAATGTCACTTTAAAAAGATATAATGGTATGTTTTGTAGGAACACCCATTTATAAAGAGATACGAGACATTAGACGTTGACGTGGCCACATGGTTTTCAGACGTGTCAGTACATATAGATCCTCATACAGGTGTTTGAAGGTAAAACATTTAATGATTTTCATATATTTTATTTATATGAGCCGCGTCACGACAAAACATAGTGCGGTTCCGCGCAGTCTGATCAGGATCCATGCTGTTCGCTTACCAACCCTATTACAAGTAGAGAAACTGATAGCAAACAGCATGGATCCTTATCAGACTGCGTGTATGTGCAGGCTGGTCTGGATCCATGCTGGTCGCAAACGCACTATGTTGATTTTGTCGTGATGCGGCTCATATACATTTTCTGTATATATAGGTGTAACATAAGCAAGTTTGGCACTATGGACAATTCCTGAAACTGAGTTTATTGCTGATATTTTGGAAATTTTAACCGAATTACTTCATAAAATAAATTACATAAATGTACAAAAGCTACATGTAACACTTATCCTATTTATAGTTCTCAGAACATGCTTGTATAACAATTAGAATTATGTTTTGTTAGTGATTTCATAAAATGGCAATCTGCTTAAAATAAAGTTGCCTTTTAAGGTGTCAATATTTACTTATACAAATTTATTTTAGCTTATTGAAACACTCTGAAACCCATTCCTGGAATCAACCAGTACTAAGCAATGAATGTAAAGTTTCGCGCTCAAGGAAACAACAGCTTGTCCCTGACAGGGTTTGAACCCACGCGGTCAGCAGTACTTAGATTACTCGCCCGATGCATTAATCACTGGATCACGCCACCAATAGTTACTTAGATTGCTTTATGAATAAGATTTAATTTCCTGCAAATCATAGTTAATTAAACAAAACCTATTTTTGAAAGTCTCCGTTTGTTTTACATTTCAGAATATTTTGTTACATAGAGGCGGAATCTCATTTATTTGATGCAGCAGGCCTCTGCACTCGAGCATAGAATTCATCTTCGTAACAGGGGCATGTAACTGCGTGCATTCATTTTGTTTTGAGAAGCGGAAGTCATAGATTAATCAAACAGATGAACTGGACTCCACACCACACAAAGATGTGTAGTCAAACCTTGTTGTTGTGGAATGATTGGCTTTTAAGATCTTATGACTAGTATTTGAGATTGTGTATACATGTATTTGTGCTGTTTGAGGTCATACCGAGGTCAAAAATGAGACCTTTTTAGAGGTGCATTTGAGATTTTTGTGGAATATAAAAAAATAAATATTAAGTTAGAAAATAGATTTATGGTTAAACCTGTGAGTAAAGGCCGTTCAAAGGAGAGACCAAATATGGCCTTTATAGACAAGTGGTCTTTATTTGGAGGTTGCTTTGTTCTACTTAATCAATAAGACATTGTCTTAGAGTGGCCTCTATTTACAGGGCAATTTTTATTTAGAGGTCGTCTTTAGCACAGGTTGGACTGTAATATCTTGAAATTCAGTCTCTTATTTTGTTATCTTTATCTTATAGGGTAAGATTTTGATATTTCTTTATATATTTTACCATAGAATATGACCATGTGACTAAAAATTTGATCATGTGACTTAGGATTTGATAATTTAACTTATAAGGAATTGGTCATGTGACTTGTAAGTATTTGATGATGTTACTGTTAATGATCTGATCATGTGACTGTTAAGGATTTGATCACATGACTATAAATTAGATCATGTGGCTTTAGTGACAAAAAATTTAGGATTTTTATTGTCTAAAGAATCTGTGTTTTTCAAGCCTTTATAGTATGCACTTGTTAAATGTGTTTTGTAATAAGTTATCGTGTAATTTTTCATACAAAAATGTTGAAGCCCTTGTGGTGTACACATGGTACAAGTAAATTGTGCTGTAAATTGAAAATAAGATGTTCAAATGAAATCACATGTTAATAAAGCACTTTTATAAACACTTACAAGATCAGGAAATTAGAGACAAGTTTTTCTGAGACATGTTTATCAACTGAGTTTCTTTTGCTGTAATGCCCTAAAAATAAAGTATTGAGGTCAGGTGGTAAATTTATCTCAAGACAAATAGATTTTTTCAATATATTTTTTCTTTGCATCAAATAAAATACATATTATTGATTGCCATAATTTATTGAAAAATACTTAATTGAAGTACATGAGATTGTTTGATAGAATTTAATAAGATCTTATTGATTCCCCTCCTCGTAATGTAGTTGGGGGGTCTATATTTGAATCACTCGTGTTGCGTCTGTCAGTCCATCAGTGAATCCATCTGTCTCCACCATGTCCACTCTATAAATCTTGTACTATTTGAAAATTTTTCTTCAAACACTTCTACTTGAACACGGCAATATGCACTCCATATGCTGTCTCATGATTTAGGTCACACTTTTAACGTTGAATTTCCATGACATTCACTTGTCGTACAATTTTACAATTTCTTTTAAATGTTCAAAAATAATGATAAATGGACTTACTTAAAATCTTGTATCATAGATATTGTGGGGGTATTTTTTTCTCTGTGACGGCTGGTACAGGAAATAAAAACATGTACATTGATTGTATTATGATGCTTATTAGTGCCATTTTGAAAAATAGGTCATTTTATTCTAAGCACTTGTGTCATAAGAAAAATGAGGTTGTTTAATGAAAAGCTCTAGTGTCATAAGGTCATTTATTATCATGAGAAAAATGAGGTCATTTAATATAAAGCAATAGTGTCATCCGAAAAAATAGGTCATTTAATGTCAATCACTACTGTCATGAAGAAAACAAGGTAATGTAATATAAGGCACTAGTGTCATGTGGTCATTTAATATAAAGCACTAGTATCATGAGGAAAATGAGGTCATGTAATGTAAAGTACTAGTGTCATGGGGGTCATTTTGTGTCATGGGGCAAATCAGGTAATTAAATATAAAGCGATAGTATTATGAGGTCATTTAATATAAAGCACTACTGAAACAATTTCATTTGGTGTCCTGAGACAAATGTGGTCATATGATAAAAAAGCACAAGTGATATGAGGTGATTTAATATAAAATACTAGTAAAGCCTGAAATAAGTGTTGTATAAATAGCAGTGTATAATTATGTACAATGTACCAGGAACTGGTCATTGAAAGTTAAATATACAAATAACTTCTAGTGCTGGACTTTCTATGTGTTCTTAGCAACAGTGCTACAGCTCATTACTGTGTTACAACCATTTTGATTTTGAACCTTCAATTTACTCATGTCTTAAGACCAAGGAAACTGTAGAATACTTAATGGTCAGATACAGAAATGTGTTGCATTGCTTTCTTTCTCAGTTGTTTAGGTGTCTTGGTGTTATTTAGGTATGCAATACTGTCTCATAGTTCAGACAGGATTTCAAACAGTGGGTATATAAATTAGAGTGGCTCAAGGATACTAAAAATTGGAGGAACTACTTTTTTGGCTCAGGAAGGAAAATAACCTTACAATGCTAGCTTAAAGGAAGATGAGTTTTAAGTTCAAATTTGCATAATAATTATATGTATTAAGTGCAGAGCCACCGTTTTGATTTTGTTTTAACAAATGTTTTGGAAAGTGTAAGAATATTTACTTAAGATTTTTTTTACAAATGATATGTTGAACATACTATTTATATTTGAATGCTTTAATATGTCCATCAATTGCTGTCAAGTACATAATATATATAGATGATAAGAATTATTTTGCTGCAATGTTAAGATTTAAATGTAAAGCTAGCTTTATATGATGAATGTAGATTTAAAGCTTACCAAGGTCTGATATTACTAAGTCAAGTTGTTTGTTTTTGGGGTCTGGTGATTGACCTTTTTCATATTCTGTATGAGGATGTGATATAAATAAAATGCTGGAAATGCACTGTATGACTTAACATGTAAAATGCTGGAACTAAAATTGATTAACCTTTACAACCATTATAGAGTTAGGCCAGCCTCGACATTCTGTTCAAATCTGACCAGGCTCTATACTGTTGACTGACAAATTTCAGAATTTCATTGTCAAGGTATCCCAAAAATTGATAATTATTTTTAGAAAATTCCGCAGGTTTAGGGTTAAAATAGTTTCTATGGTATTATTTAATGCTAAAAATCTTTATTAATGGAAAGAGGGAAAATGTTTATCTGGATGCATCTTTAGGTATAGGAAGAAAATAGTTTCCAACTTGCTAAAGCAAAAAAAAAAATAAATAAATAAAAGAAGATTTAAAAGAATTCAAGGTGGTATAATAAACAGGGGAAAATGCTGCAAGGGGTAATGACTAGTGCAAGAAATTGCAGGTTAAATTCTAAAAAAAAGTTAACCTCCTTTAAGTGTTGTGCAGTTGTGTATTAACTGCTTAGTTTGTACCAATACTGGCCTTATGCCAGTGCCTGATGAATTTTTCCATATTACTCTTTTTGTCTTATTGAAAGTTTATATACGGTTTGGTAAAGTTATTTTTATATAGAATCTAGCAATGCGACCAATTGCGTCTCTGATTATGGTCTTCACTGTTGGCTTAGAGATTGAAATTTTCCCTAAAGGTAATGAATAAATTTGTCCAGATCAATAGATGGACAAGTCAATTAATGTTATTTGGGGGAAAAAGGGTTAATGCCAGGACATTTCTTAAAATTCAGCAGAAAACCTAGTGCATGTGTTCATGTAAGGATGAAATAAGTGAATGTTATAAAATAAAATTTTATTACAAACTTTTATCAAATGTTTTTTCATGAAAAAAAAAACTTATATTGAATTTTCTTGAAAACTAAATTCTGAAACTATTCCCACTGATTGCAGAAGAACAAATGGTCCGACTTACAAGAAGGTAATGTTTTAACCCTCACCCGTCTGGTACCGTTACTGTCACCCTCCTGGAACCAAAAGTAAGCCTTTGATATTGGTATCGAGTCAGAACTGGGCCAGTCTGCACCTTTTAAGCAGTCTTACAAGGGTCTATACTGTTGATAGAGCATGTTTTGTACGCGTATTTCAATATTGAGAGTCCTTAAACATAGAATGAACTGTTACAAATTTGATACAGAGAAAATCCCCTTTTACTCCTTTTAGCAGATTAACTGTTAAGGATATTGAAGTGAAAATTTTAGAGAATAAGTTAAGTACATAAGTTGTTGTATAATATGGAACCTTGCCTTATCATCATAAACTATCATTTTCATTGTTCATAATTTTTTTATCATTTCAAAACATTACCATTTTGTCATGTATTCATTTATTGTTTTGCTGCATTTTGACTGTTAATGATTGAATAAAAATGAAAAGATATTTTGTGCTTTGTTTCTCTAAACAAAAATTTGGACCCAATTCAAAATCAAAGACACTCGGCCTCTGCACTCAAAGTAAGACTAGGCCTCTGTGCTCAAAATAATAGTGGGTCTATGTACTAAAAGGAAAACTAAGCATCAGTACTCAAAAGAGTAGGCCTATGGACTGGGCATTAAAATTTTGTACTCAAAATAAAGAGTAGGCCTATGTACTAAAATAAGTGTACTCAAAATAAAGAGTAGGCCTATATACTAAAATAAGTGTACTCAAAATAAAGAGTAGGCCTATGTACTAAAATAAGTGTACTCAAAATAAAGAGTAGGCCTATATACTAAAATAAGTGTACTCAAAATAAAGAGTAGGCCTATATACTAAAATAAGTGTACTCAAAATAAAGAGTAGGCCTATATACTAAAATAAGTGTACTCAAAATAAAGAGTAGGCCTATATACTAAAATAAGTGTACTCAAAATAAAGAGAAGGCCTATATACTAAAATAAGACTGGGATTTGTACTCAAAATAAAGAGAAGGCCTATGTACTAAAAGTAAGACTGGGCATTTATACTCAAAAGTAATTCTCAGTAACCCATGCATACTTGTTACATATACATAGTTCAGCAGAATCACTACCAGTGGGTTCCTATGATGCTCATATTAAGACTCTATACTAAAGTGGTTATGATTCCCAACTTTGAAGCCCCGTCTTTCAGTTGATTTGTATACTGCCAGTGACATATAAATTTAGATTGTTTCCCCAGCTAGCTTTTGTTTGGATGTGATTCTTCTCTGGCATACAGAGCTACATGTAGTTTGACTGAAAAATGGTCAGTAGAAAGAATTTTAATAACAAGCAAGGTTGAAAAAAATTTCTTGCCTCCAACCCAAGAAATGGGTCTGATTTTTTTTTTAAATTCTATGCAAATACATTGTAAAGAGAAGGTTTTTTAAAACAAGAGGGCCATGATAGCCCTATCATGATGGCCCACAGTCGCTCTCCAGAAACAACTGCTTTTCAGTGTTGGAAATTATCCATTGTCTGTATTTTCTAATATAAAATTTGAGCATAAAATATTTTTAAACAATAATTTAAAGAAATGCCATGACCTGTGGCATTTAAACTTTAGCTTAACAGAGCCAATCAAATTAATATGAGCAAACTTGATGAAATGCTTCAAACAATTATTTCAGTAGGAAATGATGTTCAAAGGTTTTTTAGCTTTAGCGGTCCCTAAAAGGGGCCAATCAAATTAATATGAGCAAATTTGATAAAAGACTACATAAGATGCTACAGACAAAGTTTGGTGATCATCCATCAATTAGTTCTGTAGTAGAAGATGTTTAAAGGTTTTTTCTATTTTTAGCTCTGTTGACCCCTAAAAGGGGCCAATTGAAATGACATGAGCAAATTTAACTGTGACTGTCACAAGGATGCTACAGACCAAATTTGAAGTACATCTGCCCAGCAGTTTCAGAGTAGAAGACGATTGTTGACGCATGACGCCGGAGCATCCCCCTTTAATACTAATGAAAAGAGGGAAGGTAAGCAGTTAAAGGCCCATTATGCCCTCGAAATGCTTTGTTTTGATTTCTAATCAGCATTTTATTGTTGGTGTCCGGGTATAGTTTATACAAAATTATAATTACTAATTTGGCAAATTACACAAACCATCTTTTGCTTCTGTTAAGAAAAATATTAACATAAATAGTAATTTGCAATAGTTATGGAAGTCAAAATACAGTTTTGTTTACATCTTGCTATGGTTATGACAAATAATTTCACATTGAACGGGGCTATCTTCATTTGATACTTCTTTAACATGCTCTTAAAACTAATATCTTAATGTTTGATATTTTATTAGGAAAAAAAAATTGAGTCATAATGTTAAAAAGAGACATGAAACGAAACTATTTTTTTTTTTTGACCCACTGATTTAGGAGTAAAATGCCTATTCTCTGTAGCATATACAAATGTAGCTTAATTGTATAACTGTCCTTGGAAAATTGTTTTGCTGTCGACCACCGATTAGGGAAAGTATCTACACATACACATTGCAGTGGGTTTGCGACCAGCATGGATCCAGACCAGCCTGCGCATCAGCGCAGTCTGATCAGGATCCATGCTGGTCGCAAACCCACTATGTTGGTTTTGTCGTGACACGGCTCATTTGTCAATTACTGCCAGAACTGATAGTTCAATGAAGCCATTTTCAAATAAAGACTTGGAAGTTGCAATAAAATAAACAAAGATAATCTATATTTCATTATATTTATTTGAAAAAATTCAATGTTCACAAAAATTTGCACACCAATTTCCATATTTTGTACATATATTGAGTAATTACATTATTACTCCACATAAACATGTATGTAAATAATTCAGATGCTTTAACAATATAGAAAAGATCTGGCTTTTAATTACATAAATAACTGCTGAGGCTTGAAAAGAGTAAAACAACTGTTATAATTATTGTATCTTAAACATAATTTCAAATTTATAAATATATAAAGAAAAAGAAACTACCATTACCATATGTCCAAAGAAAGTTTATTCAATAAAACTTAAACGTTATTCAACTCACACCATTGTGATGTTACTCAATCAAAATTCCTAATTTTTTCCTTAATAAATATTTATATTCCCAATTCCTAAAATACTTAACTTACTGTAGTACAAAAATCGAACACATGATTAAGTAAAATGGAGATGACTTTTAAAAGATTTTGTCTTAAGTTTTTATCCTTTACTTTAAATACATGATTTGATTTTGAATTATGATTGTAAATATGTATATATTTTTGGAAATAAATATAAATCAACTAAAATTAAAGCAATGAAATAATATTAAACTACTTTTAATTTTAAAGATTGATGTCTTTTTTAAGATTGATTTAACAGTAACATAAATAGCATTTGATATACATGTACATGTCACAGCTGGTCAACAATGATAAATCAATCATTGTATTAAAAAAATTATAAGAAGTGTTCATAAATAACGACTTCAATGCACTTCTAAAGCCTGTTAATAGGTAAAATTTCTTGCAATTTCCAGGTCATTTGCCACTTTATGAGACCTGGTGTATAAATTATGTGAATGTCTCATTTATAATAAAGATCTTGTTAACAAGTAATGTATAAATGGATATTTACGCATGTCAAATAGTTAGTGAATTTAAATTCCTGATATTATGAGTGTGGAAATATTAGCAAACCATACAGGATAGAATTTAAAGACAGATTGGTTGATATTCACGCTAGAGCAAATTTTAGCGATTTTCGTCAATTTGCGAGAAAATTGCCAATATTTCTGAGTCGCTAACTTAACCATTTATACAGTATTATACATGTACTGGTAAATGAAGGTTCTAGCATATAAAATGAATATGTTATGACCTAGATTAAGGACAGAAAAGAGACCGACAAAACTAATATTGACTAATATGCATTTGGCCTACTGATGATAGCAATCATGTTTTACACATCTTTCTTTCATTTGCAAGATTGTTTTTCTTAAACAATACACTCTGTATTATACAATTACCAAAACGAAAGATCCATTTAAACAACTTTATATATGTAACTATCATTATGACACTGAAATATCATGTATATCTGTAATACTTGACAAACTGAATACATCACTATCGGCCATTCCTCGACCTTGCTTTCATACAGCCTGAAATTTTCCTAATCAAAACAACATCAGGCCAAATATCAACAGACTATAACATAAATACCATGTACGAATAATAAACTGTTAAATAATTTTTGATTCAACACAAAATATCTCCTTTTTCTACAATTTAGAAAAGACGGCCACCTATTGGTCGTTTCAACAGAATCTGATTTTCTAATAATTATGTCTTTTTCAACTGAATGTTCATTTCCCCTTTCTGCCCTTCTTTTTCTGTGATTTACCACCTTGCTGTTGTTGTGCGCCCTGTTGGGATCCCCCGCCACCGTGCTGCCGGGTCTTTAACTTGGGTATAGTCTCTCCCAGGTATAACAATATTGACTGCTCTATAATTGGACGAGAAATGAAACACATTCATTGACATCATTCGTGTGAAGACATTTTTATGAAACAGACTGAATACAGAATTTGATTTTAATACATTAATATAATACAATACCTTACCACCCTAAATATCTGAAATGGACTTGTCCAGCTGTCAATTTGGTCAATTTCAATTAAGTACTGAATAGTGAACAGTGCAGGTCATGATCAATCAGCATGGATGTGCTGGCTTACCTTGGTCTGCACTAGTTTCATGGGTAGATTAAGTTGCTGCCAGAAGACTAAGGATAAAATTGTCAAGAAATGAACACGGTTTAAATCCACTTTAAACTAGAAGTGTAACGTTTATCTGTTTACCGGTAAATCGGTATATAGCTAAACAAGAGCTGTCGGTAGGACAGCAACGCTCGACTATTCTTAGTGCTTGATAGTAAAAAAATGCTTGATACAGTTACCTCCTCCTGTCTACAGGTTGGGGTCATGATGGTGAACAAGTGTGCAAAGTTTCAAAGCCATATGTCAATGGACTTTGAAAATATTTGAAGTATTACAAAAACTATAACGTAAATTCTAAGTCGAAAAAGGGGCATAATTCTGTCAAAATGCTTGATACAGTTACCTCCTCCTGTCTACAGGTTGGGGTCATAATGGTAAACAAGTGTGCAAAGTTTCAAAGCCATATGTCAATGGACTTTGAAAATATTTGAACTATTACAAAAACTTTAACATAAGAGGTTACGCCGACGCTCGGGTGACTACAATAGCTCTACTTATTCTAATCGAATAGTCGAGCTAAAAACGCTTAGAAAATTCAATAACCATTAACCAAAGTAAGTATTTGACTAAGGGGCGGAAAAGTTTTAAACTGATTCTAACTATTACCTTTGATTTTTATGACAAGATATGACAAATGTTTGTATTTAAGTTGTACTCAACAATGTATTTTTTCCAATCTGATCGAATATGGTACGACTCTAGCAGAAAATAGTAACTCCATATTCAGATATGTATTGTAATCATTTTATCTACAACAAAATACAAACAAAACGCTCATCACCTTCGAAAAAAAGCCTAGCTAAAAAAAGCACATTCAATGAAAATGAGGCCATACATTGTAAATACGTATACTTACTATTAGGAAATTTTTCATATTTCAGTGATCCGTCTTCATTTTTTAACTGTATGCGTATTCTACCTCTATACTTTAGGTCCTTATGTTCTAGTTCCCTACAATATGTCTTATTCTGAAATATAACATGACTTTCTGAGGTAACAGCATTAATTAACAAAGATCAAAATTTTCCAGGTAATTTGATTAAGTAATATTTTATATTATAGATTAAAGAAACTCCACTGAGGTCTAAAAGTCTAAAAACATTCAATTTAAATTTCTTACATAGATCAGCTGGGGCACTTAAAACAGAATAGTGAAGAAATATACTTAAAGAAATAAATTGAAAATCATATTTTTGTGCTATTCTTAGCCAGATTTGAGTGAATTTTAGGTTATCTTTCACAATTAAAATAATTATTCTGAAACAGTTAACACAGAATGATCTGAAATTTTGGACACAAGTTATTTGGTCTAGATCTAGACCTACATCAAATGGAACAAATATCTTGAAAAATTATTTTCAGTCTCATGTCTAAAAAACCTCAGTGGTGTCCCTTTAATCACATCTTGAATTTTAAAGACACATTCAAATCAGAAATCTCAAACCTCTCTAAACATGGCAAAATTGAAAATGTAGCAGACTGAGTTTGTCTTTTTCTGGATGGCAGTAAAAATGCAAGCTATAGTCTATGCCCCTAGGATATCCTTAAAACAGAATTTAAAATTTAAACATTAAAATCTTTTTTATTCACAATTTAGAGAGGCTGGCTCTGGTTTTTATAACTTGGATGCTTAACAAATTAGTTAACTTTTGTTGTATCTTAGCATAAATTTGTATGGTTTATATTAAGTGTAACAGGACAAACTGATGATGAATCTAGTTATTTCAATTGTTTTAATTTATCTTATTTTAAAAAAAACAACAACTGAGAAAAAGAAACTTGCCAATTTGCTTGAATATTTGCCATCCAAGTTTTTACACATAACCATAACAATTAATGTTCATTATCATATGAAAAATCTATGCATCGAGGCACAGAATTCCTTGCATATTTTCTAAACCTGCCAAGTCTAATGCCTTTTGATTAGGTTTATGTACAAAATAGTTTTAAAAAATTAAGTCACTGTGTAAAATATTGAATAAGAAAGAAACAAATATTTAAATATAATAAATAATTTACACAACATCTTAGCTAAGCTAGCAGCAAGAAACTGTTTATTTCCTACAATGTACAATGTATGACTATGGAAAATAAATTGTGTATTTTATTACCTCTACACCAATAATAAGTTGAGCACTTAAACACACATCTCTGATTTCTATATATGATGGGTTTTCTACAGCCTGGAATTCAAATATTTATCATATTTATCACATATTTATCTTTCATATATCAAATATTTATCATAATTATATATATCACTCTAAAGAACTACATTAAACAGCTCATCATTATTCCTTATTTCGTTATCCAATCAACTTTCAAACATAATTATATATCACAATTAATTAAAAGAAATGACATTGTATTAACAAATGTACTTACATTTGAATACTTATAAGTTTCATTGATTTTTGTTATGTTAGTTTTTAAGTCAAATCTACAATATAAAGCACATATGGCATGTTCCAGTTTTACTGGTGGAGGAAAATCACAAATGCCATTCTGTGCATAAGAGAGCATATCAGTAGTAGAACTATTGACCTTCTGTAAGCTAACCAGATAGCTTCAATCCAAAGTCCCTTGCAGGATTCGAGCCCATAGAGGTGAAGGGCAAGTGATTTGAAGTTTGCTAACTTAACTTCTCTGCTACAGAGCCAGTGAGAGAACCCCTAAAAGTTTCATATTCAAGGCTTACAGACTTTTTAAATGTTATTTTAAGCATTACAATACAACAAAGATTTGAAGGCTTTTTATGGAGCCTTCACATCTTTGTTGTATTGGTACAATAAGTGTGAACGTTGAGTTAATACCATTTTTGAAGGTTAAAAAAAATATATAATACAAAATGTATTTTGGTTTAAATAAATGTTTGGAAATGCATAAGTGTGCTCAGACCTTATCTTTAGGAATTCTTCTCCCTTCCTTTACAGTCTTCTTGCTATTTATATATGCAGGGTACACGCAAACCCATCTGAAATATTACACATAATTTTATAAAAAACATTATTTAACAATTAAACAATATAAAATAGTGATCACATCTTAAATTCCACCAAGTCTCAGGCATCAGTTTAATGATTAGTTTTACAACATTGGAGACATTATTAATATCAATATAAAACACAATTAAATTATTATTGCAATATCACGAAATATTAATTCATTTTATGAGATTTAGCAGATGAGTATGATAGTCAAATTAAAATTTCACACATTGTACGGCTATCTTTTTTTTAATAAATTTGACTGTGTAGAAATATTGTCACAGTCAGTAACTGATTAATTTAAACAATCAGACAGGACCCAAATAAAAATGTGAGTGGCTAGCCGTACAAGCTCCTACTCCTAGTCAAAAATTCCAGCCGTATATGAGTCACAAATGACTAGTCTATAGTACACACACTGTATACTCGAGTTGTATCGCATTTTTTCAACAATAAATATGCAATGATGAAGTCAGTAACTTGCATGTCTTATTACATTTTCACAAAGAATGAATATATTATATCTTTTCAAAATAATTTTGTTCAGCCATTTATAATTAGCCTATGACAAGATATTGGATATAGGTCAATCAGAAATAAAGTCACCTTTGATTTAAGAGTTTTTTAATGTAAATTCAGTTATTTACAAATTATTATTATTAAAAAATACTTTATCATAATCTAACTTATAATGGCTGGAAATTGACCTGATAACGTTCTTATGCAATTGTGAAAAAACAGGTGTGCTGCATCCGACAGACAAGAAATCCTCGAAAAAAAAAAACTCGAAAATTTTCAATGCCAGCTAGAAGTGTTCAAGATGAAATTTTTATTACAAATATTGTCCATGGAAATAATTTAATAATGCTCTTTGTAATTTCAGTAGCAAAAACATCCAATCATCAAACCCTAAAAAAAATATCTACTCATGGACTTTAATTACAATTAAAGTCTATGATCTACTGTAATTGATTAAGTATTCAGGATATTCAATAAAATCTTCTTCTAAAAACACAAGTTTGCACATTCATTATTGCTTTAGGTTAATCATTTTAAAAATGCTGTATCAGGGCTTCCATTAGTGGAAGATTGGGAGTCATTTACTCCTGGCCCTGTGTTCACAAAGATTTAAGGATCAGGATCAAGATCAAATTTAAAATCTCAAATATTCTCCATTATTTATCCTCATAGATTATATATTCAGTGTTAACTAATGCTAAAATTGGACTTGAAATAGCATGTTTATGAAATTTAAGAATAAATTTATTGTCATTTTTACAAGATATGAGCATTTTACAGTTGATCCAAATTTTGATCTTGATCCTAAAATTGATAATCATTTTGATCCAATTATTTTTGTATTTGTTTTTGTTGATTTTATCCCAAATAAGGTTGGTTTCTTTGCAAATAAACAGTTATTTATATTTTGTATATGTACCATTTAATTCTAGCATAGTATGATCAGTTTTAGTTTCATAAAACAATGAAAATAAAAATAAGGATTATCTGATCCTGATCCTGATTTTTTCTTTGTGAACACAGGGCCTGATTTTGGCTTATAAATGACTTCCAAAATATAACCGTTTTCCTTCTTTACCTTTAATTATAATGTGACTTCCAATGTCAGACAATTTGCAGTCTCTGACTTCCAAATTTTGGAACTTAATGGAAGCCCTGCTGTATGGCTAGCCAGATGACTAGTCAAGAGTTTGTATAGGCTAGTTGTATGTGACTCATGTACAGCTAGAACTTTTGGCTAGTAATACAGGCCCGTAAGGCTACCAACTGCCAAAAATAATACAGGTATTTTTTGCTTTTTCAAAAATATTATTAAGTTTTATAGCATAACTTATAAATTTGGTGTGAACCGTCTAACACATTTTACAAAAAAAAATTTCTTACTAAAAAACCATTTGAAAAAGACATTGCCTGTCCAAAATTATCTTGAATTGATATCTCTTTGGCAAGTCTAATGACCAATTAGTTGGACCACGGATTTATATTACAGGGATCGGACACTCCCAGTTAACCTATATAAATGCTTAAATATCTTGTCGTGCACCCGATAAAGGTACATCGATCGATAATTTACCGGCGCTGAGCGTAAATGCCCGTTCGCAACGGATACCTACTTTACAAAATACCATACAGCTTTTCCATTTATTATCCGATTTTTGAAATTTAAAGCTTATTTTCAAGAAAAATGCTTGTTTAATTCAAATATCTAATTTATTTTTTAAAGATACAGACTATCTGTCTGCAACCACGATTAATAAATTAACTTTACGAAATCCGCGGTAAATTTACATTTTTTTATATAAAAAGCAGATATTTGAAATTTATTATTACGGTAACATAATAAATTCAATTTCAAAATAAAAAAGAAGCCGATGGAAGTTATTCACAGGTGATCAAAGATGCAATATTTAAGATTTATTTGGTTATGTAGTCAAATTTATTGACGCACAATTGTTTTACGGGTAATTGTATTGTGGGCTTTACAATTCGCTCAACACATAAAGTAAATTTATGCATTTTTTTTAAATACAAGATATTGCTGATATTGTCAATACATGTATTGCCATTTTCATAGGATAATTAAATTTTCTTCATCATTTATATCATTATTTTTTTTTTTTTGTAAATCTGTTTTCAAATGTCGGTGCAGTGAAGTAGACAATCATCATAACAGTAAAGTACTCTCGTGTGGCTGTCTCGATTCCGGCCTTTTTAATGTCACTCGTATATTTTAATCATTTCACTCGTATATTTTAATTATTCTTTTTATTTGAATGCCTGTAGAAAGATATTTCTGATATTTTTAATGTAACGCTAAAAAAAACAATAAAAATCTTTTAAGTTTGAGTCAGTATTATGCGAAATAAAAGTAACTGTTGATTATTTTTTACACATCGCTTAAATTTCTTTGAAGTTTAATTACTTTTGAAGGGGGTTAATTACCAGGTAACAAGTGATAATTGAAAAACTTTGTTTTCAAACTTTCATTATCAGGTCACAGGTGATAATTTCAACACCCAATCTTTAAATACAAAATTTATAGAAATTGAATGTATATGTTGTATGTGCGCGGTCTTTAACCACAGTCCATGGCATGTGTGGTAAGAAAATGATTCTGAAGAGGACATATATAAATACAATGTAAATCCATTTTCTTTATTAACGTTTATAAATGAAATTGAAAATAAACAACTTAATTTGTATAGTCATTTCTTTGAAAAATAATGAAAATAAACATATGACAAATAAATCATTAACTATGAAAAAAATCTATTTAAAAAAATATATTTATATAAAACAGCTGTTCATTATGCCAATAAAAGTTTCTTCCTTGCCAATCTAATGAATTCATCTATATATGAACAAATGTCTAGAATGGTCAGAAAATATATTTAATACACTAATTAGTAGAATATTTACTATATTTATACTAATATACAGGTAGATCAAATAAAAAATGTACAAATCATTTGGAAATAATTCACAGAAATAAAGACACATTTCAAACATGAATTTCTTTAAAAGTTTTTTAGCAATCAAGAAACATTTTTTTGCAATGCCACTATTAAACCATGTAAAAAATAATTATCTTAATCTGAATCACGGTAATAATCTATGCTTGACGTAAAAGGGCGTCAAAGTGTAGAGAGTATGCCTAAACAATAGGCGAATATTTTTTAAATTAGGTACTTTTTAACTAAGCGTCGCAACGTTCTATCGGCATATTTTCATATATAAATACTTTAGCTGCACAAAATAATACTGTATCAATACATTCATATGTGTATAATTTTTCACAGAGCTTCAATAACACCACATACTCTTGTGAAAATGTGTCATATTTCACACTCTGAGCGTTCCGCCATCTCATTCTGTCCACCTTTATCCGATTCCGCGCATGCGCGCGACGGGACTTTAAGCTAAACGAAAGTGTCCGATCCTTGTAATATAAATCCTTGTTGGACTAACAGTTTTAAAATTAAAGACAGCTTTATGCTTTTTGATATTTACAGGAATGAAATTCTTTTTTATTCTTACATTTTGTCTGATAAACTTGATGTTAAATTGTAATTCTATGTGAATAAATCATTGTAAGAACTTATGGTTAATGAACAATATGCTAACATGATCTACAAAAATAATAAATTAATGATAGGAAATTTGGACACTCACTCATTACATTATTCATGACTTAATCACTGTTAATACTTACCAAATTACAAAGAAATACTTTCAGTATTGTTAAAAATAATAAATACCTTTCCCTATCTTCGTGTGTGAATTTTGGATCCCAGGATCTAGCCTGTTGGTTTGTCTGAGGACCTGCCATGTTGTCAATTTTTACCTTCCTTGTACTCAGACGCTTATGAAGATTAATAGCTACAAGCAGTTCAGTGATACTGATGGACTTTGAAGTTGTCTGCCCTTGTAAGAGGAGCTCTTCCCCAACGAGGTAGGCAACTAAGGAATTTCTTGCCCAAACAGTTAAAAATTACCTCTTTTTAGCGTTACTGTAATAAAAATATAGCCGTTTTTAATTTACAGAGATACTCATCTTTCGAGTGATGAATTATTTTATACCCTTGCGTTTTTCAAACCGAAAGTATCATTGTGAATGTTGAGGAGTAGTGCCCGGATAACGCTTTTGTTAATACATGTGTAGAGAGTCTAGCTGTTCAGTGTAGGCTACTTCATACGTCGAATGTAAGATAAAACTTACCATACAAAATTCATGATTTAAACAAATGCATAATTTCAGTTAATCAATGTGTGTAACTGTTTTAAGTATGTTCTAGTGTTCATTTGCTACTGTAAAAAAGCATTACAACTATGTCAACTGGTCAAGAGCTGCACAGCCAATTTTAGTGAATGAAATTATTTTAGGATGTTGTCAGCTAAGTATCAGTTCAGCAAACTTTATTTATGAAGAGGAGCGAAAGAGGTTTTGCTAAGCTTATACTACGTAGTGATTTGTCAACTTTTTACTAAATTTAATGCAACATTTGGCTAAAATATTTATTTCAATGATGTAAAGACTATTACAGTGTTATAAATTTACTTGTGATATTTTGTTTTAAATAATTCATGATGCAAATGTATCAAAATTGAATATGAAACGATGTACGTATTACATGTGTGTTTCTAATTTTAACAGATATAAATGAATAATGAAATAGAAAATAAAAGTTGTTTTTGAATTTGAAAAGATCTTGTTTTTACATGTTTTGAAAACTACATCTTAAGTGATGAGTTAGTGCCTGTGTTAGTGAGTATTAATACTTAGTGAAACAGCTATTACATATCATGAGCTATTTATTTTGATAAAATCTTCTTACAAACAAAAACATGTTAAAACTTCTATGTACACCCAGATTTTGAAATGTACCCTCAATTTTCAATGACAGAGAGTACAATCATGTACCCTTACATTTGAAATTGAGTGGGCATGATGCTAATCATATACAATATAACTTTGTTTTGTGAAGAAAATAACAATTTCGTTAACTTAGTGTGATCTTAAAATGAAGTACAAAGTAATAATTGTAACATTTTTGGCTATGAAAAATGTGAAATATCACTGTAAAAGTTTGCTAAAATGACTTGTTAAATTTGACATCTTGAAATTAACTTAGAGACAGGGGAAAATGAGCATTTTTGACATGTCAAGAATAGGCGGTTTGTTGTTTTAATGAAATGGTTAAAATCTTATTGAACTTTAACTTTCAGTTTTGGCCCTAATGATGGATGGGGGTCTAGTCATGGAACAAGATTTAACTCAGGCTGTCAAGATAGTGATCAAGTATGAGATACAATCATTAGTAAGTATTTTGTTTTTTTGTTAGCTCGAATGATTTTAGCATGCCATATGGCAGCATTATGCCGCATATATATAAAATATTATTAATTTAACTTACAATACATGCAGCTTAGTTTATACAGAATTTGTTTTAGTTCAATTGTGTATAAAGCTATAAGCTTATAGACACACTTTCGAATCTTGGAGCCAATCTGTACTGAGCAATGAGTGTGAAGTTTCTTGCTCAAGGAAACAACGACTTGCCCCCTGATCAAAGTTGAACTCATGCGGCTAGCAATCATAAGATTACTAGTCCAACGCCTTAACCACTGGGCCATGCCGCCACTTGTAGCTTATTGTAGTATTGATAGTTTTAAACATGTTATCACATTTTTTTAAAGACCAGAGCACCCAAACCAGCAGCAACATTTGTGTGACACATTGGAAACAAGGGGTGTTGCAATTACGTATTGTCGGTGTATATGTTTTGATGTAAAAATAA